GGGGTGCTCTTCCTCCGGTGGACTTACGGGCGGTCTGCTTCGTGCGGGCCATCTGTAGCAAAAGTTCTCTTATTACTTCTGGGAAACATATTTTAGGTGATACACTTTTATCAAAATGAGATAATCAATTTATAAGGGAGGTATGCATGAGATGAATGAGATGCACAAGTAACATGATGTATGTATACGCGTGCGACGTTCTCACAAACTTAGGAAATAAATAATTTCTAACGACGAGTTCGGTGGCATACAACGATCTCTCAAGACGTAGCTAATACGTTCTACACGATAAGCGTTGTTATGTACTGCAGAAGATTCATTTCAGCCCAATTCCCAATGAATGCATAAAAGCAAGTAAAGTTTTATCTACACGCTCTACACGAATCCCAGATACGTGTACAACGGTAGTAACTACCGAACCATCGTCCTATTGACGGCATCGCCTCCACAGAGACGGAAGACCCATACATGGGATACCTTTGTAAAACATGCGTAGAACATGTAATCACTCCAAACATCAAATAAGCATTCACCCTAGATCGGGCGTGTGTATCCGATCATGCTCTCACAACTCACACTTACCGAGGCGAGAGGCAAATGATCCATTCATTACCACTCAACCAAGTGGCACTCATACAATAGCACGCCGTATGAGCTGATTTAAAGAGAAATATGATGCAAGAACCCCGATCAAGACTTAATTAAGCCACCTAAAGTCCTTAATCGGGCATAAAGGATATGATCACCGGCACACTTTATAGTTTTAAAATCACGTTTTCCAAATGCCTTTTGTTTTAAATACACTTGTGAACAAGAATACGCTAAACCATGCTCGATACCACCGTATGAGAACCGACCAATTATCTGAAATTAAGTAAGAAAATCATCCACAGAAGCGGAGCGATTGAGCAAACTTAAGCCCGTGATAACCCGGTAGTCCGTGAAATCACGAAGGATTTCAAACCAACTCGTGTCCCAACCATGATCGTAATAAGTTTAGCGGTCACCAATCACATATTACATAAAAGTTTGCATAATGAGATACATCAGAGTTTAAACATAGTTATTACAAAACAAGTTCGAATAAAAGTAGCGGAAGTCATTTGTTTAAAACCACACACACTCACACGGAGTTCAAATATAGTGCCACCGGTGATGATCATCTCCAACAAAAGCATTAGGCGAGGCGTAAGGAATGACCATGCCCATGGTCCTAAGCATCACCCATCGCAGGATACAGGCAGTTGATACAGTAGCCATAGTACATCTGCCCATCTGCAACAAGTGGGAATAAAACCCTGAGTACGAGAATGTACTCAGCCAGACTTACCCGACATAACCGGAAATAAATGACACCAAGGATTATGAAGGGCTTTATAGTAGGGTAGGTGACTCATTTGCAAAAAAGAAGCATTTTAGCATTTCAAGAACCTTTCTAAAGCATTATTGCCAAGTTAATTATTATTAACCTGTCAACTAGATCTGCACCTATACTAGAGTAAACATGTGATTAAGCAGATAATGATAATCAATGATCATTAAGCAACTTCCATACTGTCATATTCATTATAACTGTCCAAGTGTTTCATAACATTTACTACGATGAAGTAACTCAAGTCAAGTGCTCACTATCCGGGAGGCGATGGCGATTGAATCGATTCCTAACCAATTTGGTGATTTGTTCCTTACACAAACCTCACTCACCCGCTAAAGTGAGATATTGATCACCGAGTCAACTTTCGGGAATCTCGAGTTTGCTAGGAACCACATGTACCCGGGTCGACCATTGACCGCACTTTGGCCTTATCATCCCGCTTCGTGTCCTACCACACTTGCTTGACGCACGGTCTTGCTGCATGGGCAATCCACTCGGCCCGAAAAATCTCCCAGCTTCGCGGTCGGAAGATACTTTATCCGGCCAGCTAAATGTAAGGCATGCGTTCAACATGACTCGAGGCCCAACAACGGTCGGTCCTTAATCGACACAGACGGAAACACTACAGTCCAAAACTCTGCAAGTCTCCGTCCGGTCTCAACTTCATTTAACACTTAGTTATACCATGACTTCATAGTCATCCAAGCAGATCCAAGTAACCACCTATAGCTCGCAGGTGACAGGAAATCACCCGACTTCTACCGGTCTAAGCCAGCTAAGCATTGACTCGACTGCGGATACCAGGGTAACAAGGATATAGTATAACAAAGGTAAACAAGGTATAATGCAGCAACGGTTGCAAACAACTCCTGAACGTAATGCATCAATTAAAGTAAAGCATTTAATTAAATCATTGCAAACCGGGAGAAAAATGCTCCGGGGCTTGCCTCTCTCGAAGGAGCTCGGGCGGTGATCGGGGCACTCCGGAAGTTCCTCAACGTCCTCCCCTTCGGCTTCCGGCACTTCCTGCTGCTGCACCTCGAACTGCTCCTCGGACTCCTCGGGAATGACGACTGGGTTCTCGGTTTGCGATCCTGTATGATGCAACGCGCGTAAGTGATTATGCAAACGGTGCATCGAAGGAGATGGATGCAATGGATATGTTTAAATGCAAGGTAGTCAACATCATCCAAGAAACTATACTACAAGCACATGTCATCTACTGCATTCTCTTCTATTACTAATATGTTAAGTTAACCTATCTTATGAAATGCTTCAAGGATACACCAAAGCTTTACTAATTTCTTAATCACACTTAAAGCGACACTCGCTTAAACCCTAATTAATAATAGGTTTGAATAGCAACATATATTTTTGATGCTCCTAAAAATCTGAGAAAATTATAGTAGCATAATACTATCCTAAACAGACTACCATAAAAATTTCATAGCATTTGGATAAGTAAACTATCCTACACAAAAATGACAAGCTATAGCATAAAAATGAGCATGAAATTACTTTGTACTACGAAAAGTGTCAAACAACAGAATTAATATTTTTCCTAGGTTCTTCATAGCATATAATCACTGTACAAAAATTATCAGATGCATGTTTTATACAAAGTTTGCTCTCTAGCAAAAATAACAAAAATCAGCCATTAAAGGCACTTGAACTACACCTCCAAAGTTTTCCACAGCACATGCATGAAACATATTTTTCCTAGGAATTACATGACCTAAGAAGATTAACAAACTTGAAATCATATTTTTCTGAAACCTATAGATTTTTCTACACATTTTTCAATTTATCAAACAATATACATGATTAAATAAAAGCCTATAGAAAAGTATCCCAAAAATGACATGCAATAATTTTTCCAAGTGGATCTCGATGATAAGGAACCTAGCAAAATTTGTTTCAACAAATTTGGAGCAAATTTGAGTACTCAAACATTTTCCAAAGTCTTTAACAAAAATCGAAAAATCATTTTTCTAATAAACGAAAATCGTTGGAACCTAAACTGCTATGCGCGCCCAGATCTGCACCCAAGGCGCTCTTGGGAGACAGACAAAGCGGGGTCCCAGTGGTCAACTGCCCCACCCAGTGGTCACCCGAAGGAGGCAGGGAGGTCGGTTGGCCAAGCCACCGCTTCGACGACGACAAGAAGTCCGGTGAAGGGGTGGCACCAGCGTGCACAAAGAAGTTGTCCCGGCCGATGGAAGTAGAAAATGGACCCCCTAGCTACAACGGAGGAGGAGGCGCGGCGACAATGGCGATCCGCGGCGGCACGGCACATGAGGTACGCCGGCCAACTCCGGCCATGGCGGTTCGATCAGAGCTTGGCGTGAGCATCAAGGTTACTCAGGGAAACCGAGGGAAGGGAGAGGAAGGAGGGAGAGGGCTCCGGTGGTGGTTGTCCACGGCGAGCACAACTCCGACGCCGGCGGAAATGGTGCTCCGCTGCGGAGAAGAAGAAAAACAGTGCCTACCTTGACTCTCCTGCTCAGAGGCGAGATGGACGAGCTCCAGATGATGATGATGGAGTCGCGGGCTAGCCGGAGTGAGAAGCGAGGCAATGGCGAGGGTTCCCGGGCTCGGCGGAGCAATGTCACGGCGGTGGCTTTTCTCGGTGGCTCGCGCGAGAGAAAGAAATAGAGGGCGAGTGCGAGTGCGATGGCAGGCGGGCGCGGCCTTCAAGCGTTCGCCAGCGAGCAAGCGTCAGGCCGGCCATGGCGCGTGGCAGCCACGCGGCGGATAGGAGCTGTCACCGGTCGGCACTGTGCCGAGTTCAAAATTTCAGTCAATCAGTTGAAACAACGAGTTGACTGACAGCGTTACTTGACAGCGCTAGATCTCCCAAATCGTGGCGAATCAGTGCAAATCGTATACATGAAAGTTGCAAAGCTATGTTAGGGCTACAATTGTTCTATAGAAATCTTAAGCTAATTCGCAAAGGACAGAGAGTAAAATCATGCCAAAGTCGTGTTCAAGAAACTGAAAACTGGAATTTATACTTAGAAATTGCTAAGTGTTGAAATCAACCCAAATTCTGACTTGTGGGACCATTTTGAGCCTGTTGTGCACATTTTCATGACTTGGTCACAAAATAACTTTTGTTCCTCATGTAATTTGCTACAACTTTGTTTTAGGTTGCTCTGACATGCAAACATTCTAAGTGGTACTTTTTAAACAGTCAAACCAAAAAGTCCTAGGGTCAAAACAAGTCAAACCATGATTGGAAATCTTAATTGGGCAAAATGATCAACATGAACATTGTTCCTAATGACTTTCTAAGCATAGCTAAGGTGTTTAAAAATATATTTAGCCATACCACACATTGGTCACGCAAGAATCAAGCACAGAATGCACTAAAACGATGAAAAACAACTGAAATGATACTTTTGTTTCAAAGTCATGTTTCCCATGTTTCAAGGCGATATTTCATTTGTTATTCACACGATTAAGCATGTATGATTTGGATGCTTGATGATGCATGAGATGCGTGATTTGCAGTGCCTAAATGCAGGCATAACACCGGGGTGTTACAGTATCACTTGGTCAATGGTGTCCATTTTGTCATTCTTCTTCTTCTCTACAGCTTGATTCCTCTCATGCCAAATCTCCTTCAGCGCTTCATCCTGTTGTCCAGACTGACGGTCAAGTTCCTTATGCCTTCGTTCATCCTCACTGCTGGACTCCTGCCCCTCTTGCTGGGACTAGCAGCAGTGCTGCGGGTGCTGAGGCTGCTGTAGCTTCTCTTGCTCCCAGTGCTCTGAGGGGTATGGACGTCTTCGTCATTGCTCACATACAGTGGCGCATTCCTACGGCTAGGAGCATAAGCGGTTTCCCCTGTCACTGCTACGCCAAGGAACATGCGCTCCAAAAGGTCCATGTAGTCAGACAGTGTACCCTTAAGCTTGTTGTCCTGCAAAACAAGAATTACAAAAGAACTTGTTTAGAACACATGATTACAACACAGAATTAGGTAAGAAAAACATGATTACAAAACAGAATTAGGTTGTACCTTGTCGTTGGTTTTCCACCATTCAGCTGAAGCACTGATGGAGCCATCTGCATTGCGCCCCAAGCCTGTCTCCTTGTGATAGAGCTTCCGTAGGTCATTCCATTCCTTCTTCAGCTGGCGGACCCTACTCCCAAAGATGATGTTGTCATGAACTAATTTTGTCGCTTTGAAGTAACCCTCTGTCAAATTTTTCCAACCCCACTTCGACATCTGACCCCTAGGGCAGTTCCCCTTGTCAATCTCGTCAACGTAGAGCTGACAGAAAGTCCGGGTGTTTTGAGGACTCCACTAGGCCCTGCTAAGGGTACTCTGAAATGATGCATAAAGAAAAAACAACACATGGCATAGGTAAACAATATGCCTAAATAAGGACATGGCGTAGGTAAACAATATGCCTATACAAGGACAGCAATGCATGCAAAGCATGCATAAACAGCATGCACAAGCACAACACAGCACAACAATCTACTTGTACTAGCACAAGCACTGCATAGCACAGCAATCTACCATGTGAGTAGCACATAGCACAGCAATCTACCATGTGAGCAGCACATAGCACATCAATCTATTTGTACTAGACCACAAGCACAGCACAGCACAGCAATCCCATGGATAAAGAAACTTTGTGTACCGGGACATTAGTCGGAGGGACGTCCTCGTCGGCGACGGCGGGCTGGACTAGGCTGCGACGCACACCGGGCCTCCTGGAACCGCCAGTCGAGCCGCCTGCCTCATCACCATGAGGCCCCAGGGGAGGCACGCGACGGCGAGGAGGTCGGAGGCCGAGGGAACCCCTGTCGGCGCGGGATGGCACGCGCACGGGAGGGGGGCCGTGAGCGCTGCCGCCGTCTTCAGCCGGGGACTGGAGGATCTCCTGGTAACGAGCCAAGCCCGGCCACGAATGGCTGGCGTTGAGGTCCAGCTCGCTAAACCCCAGGTGGCTAAGGGAGGGCGCGTTGCTGCCGAAGCCGTAGCCGAAGACGTCGCCGGAGTTGTTGCGGAAGCCGGTGTGGGCCCCGGATCCGGCGTATGGCGGCGCCTGGGACAGGAAGTCCCTGGTTTCGGAGCCGTCTCCGTAGCCGGAAGCGTTGTCCAAGGAGCCGTCGTTGAAGTCGCCGTCTTGATTCGAGCCGCCGTGGTACCCGTCCATCGCCGACGAGGAGGTCAAGGGCACCCGATCTGGACGAAGGGAAGGTGAATCTGGATGTAGGCAGGCTGGATCTGGTGGAGGACTGAGCGGCGGCGACGGAAATGGAGAGCGGCGGCGGTGGAAATGGAGAGCGGCCTAGGGTTCGGGGGGAGAGGGAATGGATGGGGTGAGGGCGGGGGACGGGTGGGCTAGATCAGTCCGGATCTGAGCGGGGCGTGGGAGACCAGAGAGCGGCGGCGGAAATGGAGAGCGGCGGCGGGGCGAGAGCGGCCTAGGGTTTCCCGGAGGAGAGGGAGTGGAGACGGACGCGCGAACGGGGCCGTGGTCAGGGTTATACTGGGGATGCACGCAGCCCGAGGCAATGATTGGGCCGGGCCAAATTTGCACTGTGCAGGCCGAAATTTTTTCCATCGGCCGTTTAGATTCCAAATTCCAAAAGTTAGTTTTTTTTTTCAATTTGGGCTGCATCTAAACAAGGCCACATATATATCAGGAATTCAGGATGAGGATGATGCAGTTATATATCACATTCCATCCACCCCCTTTCCGGCCTGTCCCTTCCTGACGTGTCATATTGACTCCACATTGCATCATCAACATCACTGCATCTAGGAGCCAAAGCATGTATGTAACTAACACATCAGTTAGTCCTTTATACACATGTATGTAACCTGTCATTTATTCCCATGCTATTGCTTGCTTCTGTACGTTATGGTTATGCACACTAGTGACTAGTGCATTCTACAGACTGCAGAGCTAGCATTACAGCTGAGTACCCAAGAGCCAGCAGAGTCTGTAATGTATGATTCATTCTGCCTTTCTCTTTCGAAAGAAGATTTATTCTGCCTTCTACTTCTACACAACACAGCTTATAAACTAGTGGAGTACATAGAATACACGCGCGAGGAGGATCGGAGGCTGCTGCAGTAAGCCAGCTAGCTACTCTTTCTCATCCGCCCCAGCAGCAGGCTCGTCGCTGGTCACCACTCCACCATTGTCATGTGAAAAATGGGACTTCAATCCAATCCAGCACTGGTAGTAATCGAGGTCTCGACACGGGGAATCCAGAGCCCATCGGCACACGCGAGGGATAAGCGAAGACTCGAACATGAACGCCAACGTACCACTGAGCCTGAATGGCTCGTTGGCACCAGCACGGCTGATCGTTGCCTCATATGTCTTGGTGTCTGGGCCATGTGGTGTCATGCAGCTATGAAGGCTGGCGCCTCCAGGAAGAAAACCATCGGCCTTAGCCTGCAGGTTCACAAACACAAACCGCTATCTAGTTATGCATCGTCCTTGAGAAACCTGCTCTTCATGACTGCTGTAGTGCATTGAAAAAATGCCAGAGACACAAAGACAGCCTTTCATCTGGTTCGTCTTACCTCATATATCCCATAAATGAGGCCCATGAATTCGCTCATGCAGTTGCGGTGGTAGTACGGAGGGCGGAATGTATTTTCAGCAACCAGCCATCTAGGTGGGAATATTACGAAATCAAGCAACGCGACCCCAGGCTTATCAGTTGGCGCAGTTAGAACTACAAATCAATTGAGCAAAGCATACGAGGCACAGAATTGTTAGTGGTAGGCCTGAAGATGCAGCGGATTCCACAGAAACCGAATCCTACCGTGAAAATGAGTTACCTGTGTTTACTGATGGGTCACCATGGTCAAAGAGGACGGTATTGAATGGACAAAACTTACTCAGATCATACTGAAAGGAAACACAATGGAGTCGCCAAAAAAGAGCAGACACATTTTAATGACAAGTGCAAAGGACACAAGAGGTACTAGCTTAGAATTTGAGCTACAGTGGATACCTTGTAAGGGACATAATTCCCATGCCATGCGACCACATTGAATGGAGAAAAATCCTGCGTGGCAGTGAACAGCTCACCGCCATACTTCTGCACTATTGTGTATCCAGGGTGGTGGTCCTGCTGAAACCATGCTGTGGGGGAAAGGAAATCCCTCGGTGAAGCCAAGCCATTGGCACCTGCGCACACAGTCAGAGTTAGGTATACTCTTTTGGATTCTCTGTGTGACAAAATTGGAAAAGGGAAGCCATAAAAAAAGAAAGGCATGGGCACTATTACCAATTGGGCCAAGATCAGGGAGCTGAAAATGGGTGCCGAAGATCTCAGAGACATAGCCACGCGAGGGGCCATCCGGCAAGTCAACAGCAAAGCGGAAACCTTGAGGAATCACGACGATCTCGCCGGGTGAAACGAGCAGCCTTCCGCACTCGGTTGTGATGAATAACCCTGGGCTTGTGTGATGGCAAAAGAACATGACAGATAGTGAACATGTGCTTTATTATCATTTCCACACAGAAAGAGAAGGTAAGCGCTGCTGAATAGACATCGCACCAAATATGCTTATGACCCTCCCTGCAACAGCGATGGGGCAACCATTTGCTTTTGGCTTTGAAATCGTGGAGATAAAATAAAGGCAGGATGGAAGGACATGGAGTGGCACAGGTGGAACACTGAAAGCGACGCCAACAGCACTTAATTTGTTTTTGGTGGGGGGAGCAACAGAAGAATGTGATGTGATTACGAGTCTAGTGATGTAGTGGTAGTTGATTTGTCCGGTGACAAAAGACTAGTATATATGTCAAATTTGAAGCAAAAGAATATGTAGTTCAAGTGTTAGCTGACAGACAGACACTAGAGGAGAAGTGGTTCAGAAGAATGTAATAACGGGAATGAAATCCTTACAGGTGATCAATTAGGTGATAGAAGAACTTACTTCCTTGCTGGGGAACAATGAGGAAGTCACCGTCGGCATTGCAGAAGGCGCATCCATCCATGGACTTGTTAGCAGCATACCTACGTTACGTTAAGTTACATGAGGATGGATCCAAGGATTCAGTCAACTTCTAGTTGCTTGTAAGATAAGAAGCAGCGGCAGGGGAGAGGAGAGGAAGCACGACATGTGGATGGCGTATCCGTGTCGGAGGCAAGAGCTGCCGGCGCCGCAGACGGTGTAGAGCCCGTCGATGAAGTCGAGGCCCGGGTGGAGGGGCACGTCGGCGGGCCTCCAGCGCAGCTGCGTGGGCGTGGCGACGGTGGTGGCGCGGTCAAACTCGCCGACGAGGCGCTCGTTGGTGGGCTTCCGCGGGTAGAAGGGCTCGTGGGTCACCGACGGCTTGATCCGGTACAGCCACCTGCAGCGGAAGCAAGAGGAGGAGCAAAATGAATCCGATCCCCATCCCTTCTCATCCCCATCCCCACGGGGAGCTTGTGTGATTGATTGCCTAATTGGAATGGAATGGCAGAGACAGAGAGAGAGAGACGTACGTGCGGAGGTTCCGGGCGCGCGGGGTGGTGAAGGAGGTACCGGACAGCTGCTCGGCGTAGAGTCCCAGCGGGCACACCAGCGGGCTGTTCTGCCCCACGGGGAGCGACCCCGGCACCGCCTCCGACGAGAAGCTGTTGCCCAGCCCCGAGAGGTAGCGCAGGTCGGGCGGCGCAGGAGCAGGAGGTGGCTGCTGCTCCTCCATGGCCATTGCTGATAGCAGCGCAGAGCCGACTGCCGAGGCTGCTTGCTGGTTGCTGCGATGCGAGTTGCGACGACGAGTGACCACGACGGCCAGGCCAGGTCAACAGCACGTCAGAGCAGAGCAGCCTACTCGGAGACGGCACGGCAGAGCAGAGTGCATGCATGTTTATCCACTTCCGGACCGTCCGATCAGGGAAGCAGCGACCCAGATCGATTTCCCTTTCCTCAGCAGCCCTGTTCGCTTCATATCAGCCATGTTTATCAGCTATGATAGATTTTTTTTCTCTCACAACGAAACAGCATCAGTCGGCTTAACAAGCTGAGATAGACAGAAGTTGTTTGCTTAACAGGCTTAACAAGCTTAACAGACGGCTTATCAACTATGATAGAGCTGTTTGCTTGCACAGGTCTATAGCTGTTTGTGCTTTGTGAAGTCTGAAGTGATACTCTTGCATCTCTACGGCAAGGTAAACAACACGACGAGATAGTATTCATTAATTTAATTTACATATGTAAAGCAGAGTGAAGAACTGGTCTATAATAGAGACTCAAATATACATTATTTATTCATTATCACTACATAAATGTACATGCTTTCAGGAAAACAGCATGCAAATATTCGAAATCGTTACAAAAAGTACAGATGCTTGACATGTTGTGTGGATTGTAGGAAAACAATAGATGCTGGACCCTCGTCTCCAAATTAGTTCATCAAGAATGAAACCACTGTTGCTGCATGACCTTTGTGCTCTCAGAATGTTCTCCCTGCAATCTCTTTGTGCAACTGTATCTTTAGATACACCTGTGAATAGGCTTGTAAACTAATTAAAATTGTTGGTCAATAAAAATTTGGGATGAGCATGTCAAGCTCATTAGAAATAATTTCAACATCAGTAAGATTGTCATTGACAACAGAGAATCTCAACATCAGTGAGGATGATCAAAGGTTACATGAAACTTTTAGAAAAAAGAATAAATCAATTTTATATCACCTAATGGAGGAGATGAACTATCTGGTTATTGGGTGTATTTCTGATGGGAGTTCATATTGCCCACACCAAAAAAAACTACATAATAATAAGATTGATCTTGGCAACAATTTATTTCTTAGGGTTAGGGATGATGACTAAATGCATTGAATTTGTGTGAGAACTGTCATATGATATTCTTCAGCAAAGAAGAATAAATCAACTTATCACCCCAAAGGAGGAGATGAACTATCTCTGCTCATCGTGTGCATTTCGTATGGGATTTCATATTGTCCAGACAAATAATATCTTATAGAACCGAAATTTGAGAATCAATAATGCCATTCCTATGAAGGGCGGGCCTGGTGCAAGCGGTAGAGTCTTACCGTCTGTGACCGGAAGGTCCCGGGTTCGAGTCGCGGTCTCCTCGCATTGCACAGGCGAGCGTAAGGCTTGCCACTGACACCCTTTCCCAAACCCCGCACAGAGCGGGAGATCTCTGCACTGGGTACGCCCTTTTAATAATGCCATTCCTGTGAAATTTGCTTTCAATTTTCATTCCATTTTCTGCTCATCTAACTCAATTAAATCAGTACCTAAATATGCACAAAGTGAATGGTACAGAAGCTACCATAGTTCAATGTATAGTAAGGAACAACCGTGTATACATTAGATGCTAACCTCAGCCTCATCGCATTTCAATTAAACTCTTCGGATGAAGCAGGTGTTGCCTAATTATAAGTGATGTAAAGAAATCTGCAAACTCTTCATTGGCATGTGCTCGAGTTAAGGGAGTAGGGTCCAAACTTGTCTGACACTTTTATAAGTTATTTTGTTGGCAAGACAAAATCACACCAAATTTGGGATGTATCGGCTATAGGCTATTATTGAGCATCTAGGTGCTGAGCAGGGCTGCCAAAAATTTGGGATAAGTAAAAATAGGGCATAACACTCTTTGAATTGAATGATAGAACCAAGAGTGATGCCTTGTGCAAATTAGAGGCATTTCATTCTTTCTCCTATAACTAATTGGTAAATACAGACGGACTGAGGCTCAACGGTATGTATTAAAGTACATACCATGACTCACCTGCTAGTATTCAGAGTTGATCTCATTGATACTGTTGCACATGGAGAGGTCGTAGTTAGGAGGGAAGCAACATAGGGACCAACACGGACTCACCACTTCTGCTCATATAGAAGAATATAATAGCATTAACCAACAAAAACATGCAGTACCTTGAGAAGGAATTTTTCTTGTTGAAAGAGACTTATCAAGTCTGTTGTGCCATGGTGCAAGAAAACTGAACTGCAAAAAAACGAAGGTCAGAACAAAGCTAATAAGAATATATATGGTGTTGTGAAAGTAGCGCTACCCCCGCATATTTGGTGTGTGAAAGTACACGTAAAGGTATTGTGACACGGTATTTGAAAACAAAAATGAACTTTTGCAGTACAGTAGTCATTTCCATGGAAGAAAAATCAATCAAGATACATTCGACGCAAGAAAATGAATGTAAGGGCTTGTTTGGATCCTATCAATTGAAACCAATGTCTAAAAAATGTTTTCCATTTCATTATTAGATTCCTAATTTTTCTCAATTTCTGGGAAGCAAACAGACCTTAAGCAGTAATATTTGAGAACATCTCTCTCCTTGACATCCAATCTCTGTTGGGCGGAATACGAATTGAAGACATGCAGGAAACATAATCAAGGATGCATAGAATATTGATCCAATTAACATTCTAAGGTAACTGGTAGGCAATTCCAGAGCTAAACTCAAAGGGTGCACTAAAAATCCATTCACTCAAAGAACGATGGTAAGGTATGAGGTATGACAGTGAGCAATACAACGAATTGAATTGTACCTGTTGTCCAGAATGGCAGGTCAGTGTCATGTGCGATCAACACGTATTACAACACCCTTTCCACAATCTGAAAAGGAAATGACCTGAAATCAAAGGAAAAAAAACATCTTAGTTGAGACTGGATCAGTCATGAAATAGCAATTATATGAAAACATGAGACTAATATACAAAGTAGGTTGTTTGTCCCAACTTCACAGGTGAATGCAAATAATATTGCTTTGCACTGTAACTTTTTGTATACATGGAGGCTGGCATATGAAACATTAAGAACCAAAGGTAACACTGAGTCTGTTTTATATAAATTGTAATCTGCACAAAGAAAGGAAAAGACAATAAATGTTATTGAAGTTTTCAGTTAACAGAGGCAAACTTATAAGACCTAGCTTCAGTGTTACCTAATAAGAGTCTGACAAGTGGCAACAACAAAGAATGGTTCATTGCCCTCACCAATTAGTTTGTATGAACACTGCAAAAACCTATCTATCATATTTTGGCAATAGGATCTAGCTAGTTAGTGCCCAATGTACATAAAAGGAAAAATGATGTGAAGTCATTAAGGCAATACTCAATAGAAACTGAACACTATTTACAAACTCAATCTCTAAACATTTATCACTAAAAATCTCACAGCCAGAATCTAAAAACGTCAGGCATCACAGAGAGCAAGACGACAGATGGCGGCACAGATGCGAGATCTATGAATACTTTGTAAATTATGGGGGGGGGGGATCAAATAGGAAGAGGAATACATCTGAAAGAGTAGTTCCTATAGATTTATCTTAGGCAAGTTTCATCTAAATACACTACACTGCTACACTGGTGTAAATGAAATTTAGATTATATACAAAATAGCTAAATATATAGAATACCTTAACATGTCAAAGAAATCACATATGCTTTCACTTGTCAGCGCGTAATAGGATATTTCTCTGTCAATCAACAGATAGGGTATCCTAGGTGCAGCAAAACATCAGCCAAAAAAAATATTTGAACACATGCATGGAGTATTAAATATAAACTAATTACGAAACTAAATGCATAGATTGAAACTATTTCGCGAGACGAAATTTTTAAGCCTAATTAGTCCATAATTTGACAACGTGGTGCTACAGTAAACATGTGCTAATGACGGGTTGATTAGGCTTAATAAATTTGTCTCGCGGATTACTGACGGATTCTGTAATTTATTTTTTTATTAGTATTCGAACACCCCATACAACACCACATATGACACTCCCTAAACTTTAGGCATCCAAACAACCCCTGACTGCCGCGGTTACACCACCTCATGTTACTTCTGTAAATGAACTGATCCTCACCAAACTCAGCTGCAGTGAGTGGCTTCGTTGACTCTTGTATATCATGTCTGACTGTGCTACATTGGCAACTTGACATGATCATTCACATCAACTTCAGCCTCCGCCAAGTACTTTCAAGATTTGAGTGCCACCACAAAGTTCAGGGGAAACAAATTAAGAATACACCTCCAAATACTTGCCATTGCAGGTGAGCAATTTTAGCCAACTTTTAACTTCTCTCCAAGAATCTTCTTTCTTCAGCTCAAACAGGGAACAACAACAGCCACTGGGAGCACTGACTCATCATCTGCATTCCGCCTCCCTCTCTCGAATGAAAGCTCACACAAAGCAGCCCAGAGTAACCAAACCAGCCCCCACCTAACATGCACCAAATCGTCTTTGGAAGGGATTCATGGATTTCACAGGGCACCGCATTTTGCTCATACACTTTGCATATATACATGGGATTTCATGTCGCACTTAAGAGTGCTACATAGCCATACATGCATCCGTGGCTTTTGTCAACACAAAGCCTGGATTTCTCCTCTCATCCTCATACAAGTATACAACAACGCAAGCCATGAGGGGTTTCCAGCTGCTACTCATACTGGCATTGCTTGCCGGAGAGTTGCACTGCGCAAGAACAGCAGCACCACCAGCAGATGCACCGGAGACTGCACCAGAGTCTCCCGAACCACCACCAGCAGATCAGCAAACGCCACCGCAGGCGCCTGGGCCAACACCTCCTCTTCCTCCTCCTCCTCCTCCACCTCCACCTCCACGACGGCGGGGATCACCACATCGACGACCACCGGCACCACCAAAGCAGGATCCAGGACCACCGGCAGCACCAAACCAGGATCCAGCACCACCGGATCAGGAGGATCCGGCACCGCCAAGGTTGGTTGTGCCACCACAGGACCCTGCTGGGGTGGCAGCGCCGGCACCACCTGGAATGATCAACCGCACCACGGGCTGTACTACACTCCTTGTACTTGGAGACTCAACCGTGGACCCTGGAAACAACAACCATCTGCCAACCACAGCCAGGGCAAATTTCTTGCCCTACGGCTTGAACTTCTACGGACGCAGGCCGACTGGCCGATTCACCAATGGCCGGTTAGCCACCGATATGTTAGGTAACAAGAGCCATCCCCTTCACCTCTTGCTTATGATACTACCACTACTCTGTTTTTACAGCATGTACAGATAGATGTTGCGTGATGCTAGAACAAGATCAAGCGCATGCATGAATCCATGAAAACACTGCATTCCCCTTTCAAGGTGACTAATGTTTAGGATACTTGATTGAGAGCTTTGATGTTATGCAGCTGAGAAACTAGGCATATCGAGGATTATTCCAGGTTTCTTTGACCCGAATCTGAGGTTGGCCCAGCTCAGGAGGGGTGTGAGCTTTGCATCAGGCGGCTCCGGATATGACGACAGCACTGCCAACAGAATAGTATGTCATCATAACATGATTTCACCTGCAATAAGATCCATCTCAACAGAACTGTAAATATCAAAGCTACATGGTTAAAACAAAAAATAGTTGTTTCATTGTTTTAACTGGTAATAAAGCTATGATAGAATTGATGAAGATCGAAATCAGATTTGAGCTATTCAAGCATTATACAGTAGATGGGGTAATAGAGCATATTTATCTCTTATTATAGGTGTTTAGGTTACGCACACTAGTGCGAACAATTTCACTTTGAGTTTCTGAACTACTAACCAGCTAAGCTTCCTACTTATAGAATGTGATGTCATTCTCTGCACAACTGCGCAACCTTTTCCGTTACAAGCTACTCATCCGAACACTGCTTGGACCAAGAAGAGCAGAGAGACTTGTTAACAGGGCTGCCTTTGTGATAAGCTCTGGTACAGATGATTTGCTTTCAGTCTATCTTGCAACAAATCGGTCAAATGCAATTAGTATGGAACTGTATGAGAATCACCTGATAGCACACGTCGCTAATTATACCCAGGTACACATTTCCATTGTCAAACTAGCATTTGGCATATCTGTTATTATCTGTAATAATTTGTAGCCCATACCATATGTCTCAGGCCATGATAATGCTTGGAGGAAGGAGATTTATTTTTGTCGGACTGCCCCCGATGGGTTGCTTGCCAATTTCCCGAACTTTGGTGGGCACAGGATCAGACAGATGCGACGAGACATTGAATCAGCTCGCAACTTCATTCAACTCAAAGCTGATTCAACTGTTGAATTTCATAAATTTTCAGCACCAGATAAGAACTTCATACATAGACACCTATACTACTATACATTCCGCGACGGTGGATCCTAATGCCTTTGGTATGCACCAGTTCTCTTTCTTGTATGTACCACACGCACAAGAAGTATATATTTTTATGGTCTGGCTAATCGATTGCTTGTGTTTCGGGAATGGTAGGCCTAACAGAAGTGTCAAGAGGGTGCTGCGGATCGGGGGTGATTGAAGTTGGGCAAACATGCAGAGGGCGAAGAACATGTGGAGACCCTAGCAAGTACCTATATTGGGATGCTGTCCATCCAACGGAGACGACGAACCAAGTCATCGCAAATGCGATGATGGATTCCATTAGAGAACTCTACAGCTAGGCTAAAGTGAAGATGGCCGTGATTTGGAGTCTGGATTTGACATCTTCATCTAGGCTAGTTTAATCAGAGTCATGTGTATCCAAATGTACTAGAGCTAATATACATATATATAGTCTAGTTTGAACTGGAAGAGAGGTAAGTTATAGTGATTTGTGTCGAAGGAATGAGAGAGGTCAGAGATTACCAGCAGTGTCAAATTGCTGAGCGGTGTTGAGCTTAGTTGGGTGAGTGATGTCAATCTTGTTAGAAATGCGCATTGGTATGGTAACATACAGAATTGAACCAGATGCCACCTCTTGATTTCCTGAAATGAGCTCCTCAGCAAAGCAGTAAGACTGTAAGAGGAATGCATATCGATGAGGTGAGTGTAGATTGAGGCCAGTATGCAGTTGGGGTTCTTTCATGACGTAAAGGGAAAAAAAAGATGAAAAAAATGAAAATGAAAACAAACCACTACTGCACTTACTATCATCCATTCCATGATACTATCATCCATTCCATGATAGGGATCACAGGATGTCACCTAGACTTGGAGGGCATTGCGCACGAGGCAGGGCAACTGGCAACACGGGCTAGAATCCATACCATACGGATAGGGATCGGCAGAGGTCGTCGGTTGGCAGCGGCCGGCCGGCAGCAGCGGCACAGGTTGAAGTGAACAGCTGCTGGGGGGCCGGACCTGACGAACGGCTTGGCTTCTACCCTCACCCAGAGCTGTTCCTGGACCCAGAGACGCCACAGGTCAGTCAGCCCTAGCCAGTCAAGTAGATGCAGTGTAAATTTTATGACAATTGCTTAACAGCACCGTCAATCTATGGATCACAAATTTGCAAATCAACCACCCATTCGATTCAGTTCACAGGAACAGAGCCGACCACAACCATAAGTATATTACTGCTACTACTATAGCAAGAATTTGCCTCAACGAAAAAGGCATCGCCACCATACCACGAAACTTAAACAGGCACTGCCAGCTCAAATGGATTCACAAGCACACCCAACGTGAGAGAAAAAAAAAAGTAGTAGCATTAAGAGAGACTAGGCGTCACGGAACGGAAAGCATCAGTCAGACAGAACACCTGCTGCTGCTGTACATAATTCGACATGCTTCTTCAAGATAATCTTAAAACTAACAAGTCCCAATCGCCAGCCTTCCAGGATAATAATAACTAGATAGGATCATAGAAGCCTAACGCTACCGCCTCCTTTAACGGAAATATATGTCCACAGCCCGACTTCGCCCAACAGATGGTAATATCGCTTCTGCTCATTCCTCTTCATCGACATCCACCAGCTCGTACTCCACCAGCGACATGTTGTTGTCTTGGTTCACCTTGAAATCAGCAGGCTGAGTCACCTCAATCCGGCCCCACTTGTCCACTGCCAGCCTCATGGTGCCCTTGAACATGTCAATCTTGGCATTGCGGAAGATCACTGTTGTATCTGGCTTCAGAAGGTCAACTGTCCACAATCACCCCCAAAAAATAAAGCATGGTTAGATTGTAACCAACTAACCAACAATGATAGATATCACAAACCTACTAATAATAAGCACATAACCATAGAGCAATCTTTCATAGATTCCATGCAGGTATATGATAGAGAAAACACCAGGATTAGTGCAATCTGTAATAAATTAATCTAAACGACAATGTCATGTGGACACCAGAAACGCAGGAGAAAACCAACGGTTTTCCATATAGCAGAAGCAACCACAAGCAGTTTTCAAATGATTCAATGCCACATGGACATCAGCAAGAATCATCACAATGACAATTGTTTCTAAAAGCAAGAACGATCAGTTATGAACAGCACAATATCATGAGTCCTCACGCAGGGGCAAACTGGCAACGTCTAAAACAAAAGCAACATCCAGCGGTTTCAAATGACACGATATCATGAGTCATCATGCAGGGGGGCAACCAACGACGTTTCTATCTCTACTAACTCCGTCCAACAGTTTCTGCATGGCATCACGTCCGAGTTTATGTTACCACCATGTGACAGACGACAGAGGTCACCCAGAGTTTCACATATTGATTGAAGGCTCACAAAGCACAAAGCACATATGGTCAATCAGCATCTCCAAAATAGCAACTTTAAGTGAAACTCTCACCAAGCACTAGAGCTATCTGGCACAGCAGGAACCAATCTGGCAGGATATTTGACACCCAATCCCTCCATCCCTAGCAAGCAATAAGTAACAGTAGGAGCACACACAACATAATGGGCCATAGTAAGCAGATGGATCTAATCAAAACAGGGCAGAAACTATGATGTAGATGTACTCTATATGCAATGTAGGCGCCAGGTAGATGATGTTCATTGTGTATTAACTAATTATGAAAAAAACACAGATGTACTCATATATGCAACGTAGGGGCCAGGTAGATGATGTTCATTGTGTATTAACTATAAAAAAAAAACACAGGCACTAATCAGTAGCAGTTATGCACATGAAGAAGCATGAGAAAAAGCATTCGTATCCGGGTCGTAAGGCTAGCGCCAGATCTGCAATCGTACTACATGTGTGATCTAATCCGACTAGCAGATCAGTTGGTCGATGGATCGATGGAATCTGAAGCGCGAGTGATCCATGAGCGAGAGAGAGAAAGGGCACGGGGGGGGGGGTGGGGGGATCGCAGGCAGCATACCCTGTTCGTTGCGGGCGGTGACGAGGACGGTGCCGGTGCTGTCTCCGACGAGGCACTCGGCGACGCGGGTGCGGCCGAGGTGCGTGGAGGGCTTGTCGAGGACGGTGCGGGCGGAGATGACGCGGGCGGTGAGGGTGTGACCGTGCGTCTGGGGGCGCAGCTGGTCGATGGTGGTGAAGACGGGCTTGCGCAGGGTCTTGGCGCCATCGGCGGGGCCTGGGGCCGCCGGGGCAGGGGCTAGGCCGCGGCGGACGTAGCCGGTGCCGGGAGGCGGGGCGCCGCGGCCTCGGAAGGAGGGGCGCCTGGGAGCCGTCGACATCGGCGATCCTCCCTCCAAAACCCTAGCGTGGGCGGCGGCGGCGGCGGTGTGGAGGGGTTGCAGTTGGAGTTGGTTGCGACTTGCGAGAGGGCAACTGCCAGGTGGGGTGGGGGTACGCCCGGTATTTAATACTGCTCCACCAAAACAGACACGTGGGCCCCGGGGGAGTCAGAGTCTGGGACCCGCACGCACGACGCATACCCACCCTCTGCGTTGTGTGCCCAGCTCAATACAGCCCATTACAGATATATATATATCTGGTTGACATTACAATCTGTTAAATCCCCCTTCCCCTTACATCTTTGTAGGTCTTCCGCAAGGATAACAGGACCATGCTCTCTAGGAAGGAATTGTTCAAGGACACTCTGAGAAAAGCAGCCCATGCGTGGAAGCGGATCGTCGAGCTACGTCTTACTGGTCCCAAATCAACCCCCATCTGTGGAAACCATTAACAACCAAAGATCCGTTGATCAACTGTGCTACATACAGCACTCTAAACTAATGTAATGTCTCGTTTGATGTCGATTAACAGAAGAGGAAGCAAATTTGTTGAGACAATATGTCGACCAGCCTGGTTATGTTGATCTGCATTGGGTATGTCTATCCATTCCTTTTTCCGTTAGTAATAATATGTTCTTATTCATACCTCAGTCAAGCCTTTATTGTGTGTGTCAATCTTCATATGGTTCTTGGGTTTCTGTAAAAACTAGGGCCTTACCTTTGATAGCAATCACAGAAAATACATGCCATGGAAGGAACAACAGATAGTTGCTTTGTACAAGCTTCTTCTTCGTTTGTTAACTTACGGACACAACACGATCTTGCAGGGCATGTTCGTGCCAGCTATAAAAGGGCAAGGAACTGAGGAGCAGCAGCAGAAGTGGTTACCACTGGCTTACAAGTTCCAAATAATTGGGTGCTATGCTCAGACGGAACTTGGTCACGGCTCAAACGTTCAGGGCCTTGAAACAACTGCTACATTCGATCCAAAGACTGATGAGTTTGTCATCCACAGTCCAACTCTCACGTCCAGCAAAGTAAAGTTCTATGAATCAACTGCCACCTTATTGATTTGTTTAAAACATTTGCTCTTTTCCCTTCTTAAAAATTACTTTAGCGGTTTAGCCATTTGTAATTAAATTGATATAAAGACGCTGCCCCGCAATTCATTACATGTTTCTTGTTGGCAGTGGTGGCCTGGTGGCTTGGGGAAAGTTTCCACCCATGCAGTGGTGTACGCTCGGTTGATAACTGAAGGAAATGACTATGGCATACATGGTAGTGTTTTGCTTCTGGGAAGCCTTTATTGATGCACTCTCTTTCTTTGCGACTTATGCATGTCGGTGTTCCAGGTTTCATTGTGCAACTGCGAAGCTTAGAGGATCACTCCCCACTTCCAGGTGTTACCCTCGGTGATATTGGTGGGAAGTTTGGTAGTGGTGCATATAACAGTATGGATAATGGTGTTCTTCGATTTGATCATGTGCGCATCCCAAGGGACCAAATGCTGATGAGGTTTGTCCATTTGGATCATCATACTTCATTCTGTCACTTTATCCCTTTTTTTTTTTGTCTTAACCTTCCTTAAACTTAACATGGTTATATTCTTGCTTTCTAGGCTTTCACAAGTTACAAGGGACGGGAAATATGTTCACTCAAATGTTCCAAAGCAGCTGCTGTATGGGACAATGGTTTATGTTCGTCAGTCAATTGTTGCAGATGCTTCTAAGGCTTTGTCCCGTGCTGTTTGCATTGCTGTACGATACAACGCAGTCCGAAAGCAGTTTGGCTCTCAAGATGGTGGCCCTGAGACTCAGGTACTTTCTCTGTTAAATATTTGAATAAATTTCGTATCGTTATTATTTGTTCATTTTTCTGTTAATTGTGAAGAAACTTTGTTAAAAAACTATGCTCTCAACCATAAATTGAGCTGACCATATAAAGTAACTAATAAATGAGATCTATGCACTAGGCGGGCATCAAATACCTATTTGGTTTGATAAACGTCCATACTCTTATCTATAAACTTGATCAAATGTAAGATAGATAGTTTGACTTGGGAGAAAGATAGAAGTAAAGTCTTTTTGGGACGGAGGGAGTACATGTACATGGATATTTCTGCATCTTCTGGCTACCAATGAGAGGTGACTAATGTATTCAAACTGATTACAGGTCCTTAATTACAAGACTCAACAGAGCAGACTCTTTCCATTGCTGGCTTCAGCATATGCATTTAGATTTGTGGGTGACTGGCTGAACTGGCTATACACGGATGTCACTCAGAAATTGGAAGCCAAGGACTTCTCAACACTGCAGGAAGCTCATGCATGCACTGCTGGTTTGAAGGCTGTGACAACATCTGTAACAGCTGTATGTATTGAGTTTAATTTCAGTAACCCTTGTGCTGTTCTACTTGTTATTAATGGTTTATATTCATCAGCCCTCTTTGACTCTCTTATACAATTATGATTGGAGTGGAGTTGAGTTAATATTGATCATTCCCAAGTACTCGTAGTATAAAAGTGGTTTGTAGAAGTTCTGAACTACCAATTGGGCAGATGTTGTCTTTATCACTAAATCTTTCTTGGGTATTTCAATTGTAGCTCGTAATTCAGGTTTCATAGGCTGTCACTAGATACGATTTTTCTGTCTGACTTGCCTGACTCCATTCCATTTTAAGAGAGTAGGCTCTGGTCTGATGGTCAAGCTTATGCATGTTCTTATGGTCTAGTCACTATATATAACAAAGGACAGTTTTACAATTCATTGTTGTATAAAGGGATATTTCGCTCTGTTACGCAGGATGCAATTGAAGAATGCCGGAAGCTCTGTGGTGGACATGGTTACTTGAACAGCAGTGGGCTTCCTGAATTGTTTGCCGTCTATGTTCCTGCTTGCACTTACGAAGGAGACAACATTGTTTTACTTTTGCAGGTTTGTATGCTACTCATATTCCTTAGTTGTGATGATGTCAATCATTTGTCATGCTTTTAGCACGTAGTTTATTTGATTGAAGCCCTTTTTTTTCTTTCATTGTGTTTTTTTGTCAATGGTGAGCGCTGAGGATGGCGGTAAACTGTGCCCAGAACATAAGCCAAGCTGCAAGCCAAGAGGAAGGTTAGTATTTATTTTACACACATTAGTCTGGGAGACAGGCAGAAAAAAAATCTTATATAGCTGGTAAAGTCTGGATGGAAATTAATCAACTTTACCAATGACGATCTCATTCCCTGCAGGTTTCTACGAGCGGTCCCCAGATTTGCTTGAGGCTGCGGTAGCCCACATCCAGCTGATCATCGTGACCAAGTGAGTACCAAGTACACAACCATGTGGAGGAAGCATGTGCAATTCTCTTCCATGTCATTTTTCATATTTTGGAAAAGAAAAGAGCAGAAAAGAAAATGAAAGGAAAACCGATGATTCATTTGCTACTCTTGTTGCTTGTCGCCCAGGTTCGTCGAGAAGGTGCAGCAGGACATTCCTGGACACGGGGTGAAGGAACAGCTCCAGACCCTCTGCAACGTGTACGCGCTGCACATCCTCCACAAGCACCTGGGCGACTTCCTGGCGACTGGGTGCATCACGCCCAGGCAGGGAGCGCTGGCAAACGAGCAGCTGGGCAAGCTGTACGCGCAGGTATATTGTATAGGTCGAAGAAGGAAGCACAATGATGAAACGGAGTGAAATCCAGTGAAAAAGAAGTGGGCGGGGCAGCAGGAAGTGAACTGACGGCATATGATGACTTGTTACAGGTGCGGCCGAGCGCTGTGGCGCTGGTGGATGCGTTCAACTACACGGACCACTACGACGGGGACGTGTACCCGGCGCTGTGCGAGGCGGCGTGGAAGGACCCGCTGAACGAGACGGTGGTGCCGGAGGGGTACCACGAGTACCTCCGCCCCCTCATCAGGCAGCAGCAGCTCAAGCTCTCGAGGCTCTGAACGAATTCTCTTCTCTCTGATGTGGTCCGCTGCCATTAGCGCGTGACCCCTCTGAATTCGAGGATCATATCATATCCATTTCATACGTTGGTGCTCAGTTTCACACGGTGTTACTGAGTAATAAGCGAGCGAGAGATTAGCATATCTCTGCTGCTGGAGTACCTACGTAGTGCAAATTTGTATCGTAGAGAGAAGAACTGCTGTTACTGAATGAATCGAGGATTGAATTGGTGCAGGCATGGAATGCTCCAGCACTAGTCTGTTGCTGCTAGTTTTAATATTTCTTGTATGATTAGATCGTTGGTTAGCTTAGCTAACATTCTATAGATGATAGATTGTAGTTACCCCTGTGGACTCACTGTGGTGGTTTCTGCTTTTCTGGTCAGTGGTAGCCTGCTACTGCAAGTGCAAGTGCTAGTGCTAGGTGCTCTCCACTCCAGAGAAAGCGAAGTAGTAGTAGGAGTGCGTCTTCACTAGAGGGAAGACGTATCCAACGTCCACCTGCCATCTTCTTCTTCTTCTTCCCGCCTGCTGCTGCTGCCTGCAGCTGCAGCCTCTAGTCTCTGCCTCTGTCTCCTCCCTCCCTTATCCTCCTCTTCTACCTCCACCTGGCAAGTGGCACCTTGATGATGGCTCCTCCGCCTCCCCTCCTCTCCCCCACCGCCGCCCGCCGGCACACCCCGCTGCTAACGGCGCCCTCCGCTTTGCATCCTCCATCCTCGGCCAGCTTCTGTCCTCCTCGCCACCGCCCACGCCGACGCCCTCGCCTCCCTCTATCTTCTTCTGCTCCCGCCGCAGCAGACGGCGACGCCTCCACCTCCTCCTCAGCCGTGTCCGCTGCCAACCAACGGGGCTCTCCCGCTTCCTCCGTCCTCACCTTCCAGCAGGCCATCCAGCGCCTCCAGGTTCGTTTCGCTCGCTGCTCCCTTCCCCTCCCCACTAATCAAATTCAAAACCACCCATCTCCTCTCTCCTCTGAGTGACGTCTGACCCCTCTTCAATTCCAATTCCATTTCCACAGGAGTACTGGGCCTCCGTAGGATGCGCTGTCATGCAGTGCAGCAACACCGAGGTAACCTGCTTTCTTCAGCATTGTTACTTACCCCGACCCTTACTAGTAGGTAATAACGTTGTTTTTTCATCCACATCGAATCCAGGTCGGAGCAGGCACAATGAATCCGCTCACATTTCTTAGAGTCTTAGGTCCTGAGCCATGGAACGTCGCGTAAGCTCGCCTTCTCACCCCTCATCCTGACCACTACTAGTAGTATTTATCAACTCAACTCCCACCCCTTTTGTTTATGCGCCGCCGTCTAATTTCTCCTCATTGCGCTCCACAGATTATGGCTTACAATAATTTCCTTATTATATATAATAATAATTCCTGTAATCTCAGAACACTGACATGTGATGCTCTATATGAACGGCAGTATATACAAAGGCTACAGTGCTAACGCCATCTTCCTTTCCTTTTTTCTTTTTCTTTTTGTTGTACTGTATTTTTCTCCAATTTTGATCCTCAAGTTACGTGGAGCCAAGTATAAGACCAGATGATAGTCGCTATGGGGACAATCCCAATAGGCTTCAGCGCCATACTCAGTTTCAGGTTGACTCAAGTTTTGCTGCTTCTTTTTTTCCCATCTTATTTTATTTGATTGGCCAAACTGTTACCGGTGCCTGATTCAAGGAATTTAATCATTCCTATGAATAGGTAATTCTGAAGCCTGATCCTGGAAATTCGCAAGATCTCTTTCTGCACAGCCTTTCAGCAATAGGTATTGCTTAATAATATTATCTGCCTTCAGTTCTACTAGACGCTTTGTACAACAACCAAGGAACACTAATGTGATAAATGTTTTTACTTTTGGGTATTAATTAATGAAAGTCCCAACTGGTACATTATGATGTTCTATGTTTCGCTCTAATCACATTTTTAATGAATATAAATGGAGTCAGTGAATGGTTGAGTTGTTTTTCTCACAGGTATCAACATCCGTGAACATGACATCCGCTTTGTTGAAGACAACTGGGAGAGTCCGGTGAATTTCTACCTTCTTTCCAGTGTTCTTTTTTTTATGCCAGCACATGTTGTCCTGGCTAAGTAAACTCCAACGAATTTCTTCTTATTCATGATAGGTTCTTGGTGCTTGGGGACTGGGCTGGGAGGTTTGGATGGATGGCATGGAAATCACACAGTTCACATATTTTCAGCAGGTACAACTAATTAAATAGTACTATGTATCACTTCATGACTCTTGCTAAAATCAAACTGGGACCACACAGCTGTTTCATCTGCATATTTAGGATGTAGACAAGGAATGCAAATCAGACCAAGTGACAGTTGACTTATTAGATTTTTTAAGAAAAGAAAAGAAAACTAGACCATCCAGGAGGAACTATGTGATCTGCACCAAGAATAAAATAGCATCCAAAAACGAAACTTTATTTATTCAGAACTAGATGACCTATGAGAAACTAGATGATTTTGCATCATCACTTCATGTACTAAAAGTTTTCAGGTCCTATTCCTGTCTAATCCCTGTACCTTTTTTTTGTATCTCAATTGTTGCAGTCAGGAAGCCTTCCATTGCAGCCGGTTTCTGTTGAAATAACATATGGACTTGAGCGTATCCTCATGTCACTTCAGGTAAACCCAGTGATTATTTTGTACTCGTCTTGTATGAGTCATACATATACAGTGCTTATTAGCATTCTTTTCTTCCTGGATAGAATGGTAAACATAATTCCTTGATTTTGTTGATTATTGATCCTTGACTCCTGTATGTCTATAGCACAACAACTGTGGTACTAACGTCTCCATTGAGATCATTTCTACCATACTATGCTGGGTAGCATGACCTTTGAAAAAGCTGACCTTACTTTAATTTAGATGCTGTGACAGGGAGTTGATCATTTCAAGAATATACTATACACCGAAGGAATTACATATGGAGAACTGTTCCTTGAGAACGAGTATGCTTTTTTCTTGACTGTTTTTCGATGCTATGCAGATCTTTTCTTTTTCTTTAGATTTTCCCTCCATTTCCTCCTATTATATACCATGGATACTGATTCTGTCATGTGCTTAAGCTTTGGACCTTATTTCTGGTTTCTTGACTTCAGGAAGGAGATGAGTGCATATTATTTAGAACACGCAGATGTCAGTCACATTCAAAAGCACTTTGACAATTTTGAAGAAGAGGCTCGCTCTTTGTTATCACTGGGGCTGCCAATTCCGGCGTATGCTTGAATGTTTTTATACCGTCTCTTTTGGATTACAAGCAATTAAGTGATAAAATTGACAAGTTGGCTCTTGATTTGCAATGAACTAGGTATGATCAGGTTCTGAAGGCCTCTCATGCTTTCAATATATTAGATTCTAGAGGTTTTGTTGGTGTAACTGAGCGTGCAAGATATTTTGGTCGCATGCGAAGGTGCGGAACTATTTCCCTTGTTTTCTTTCTATCTTACCTCATCAGGTATCATGGAAACTTTCAAGTGCCTCTTGTTCCTAATTAAATTATATATTTCCATTAGAGCAACAGATATCTCCATATCACCATGTTTTTCTTTTTCTTGGAGGTTTAGCAACCTGCATTTTATTTTAAGCTCTAATATTCTTCACTACCCATATTTTGATTGCTTTTCCAACCTCATTGCTAAGGGCTTTGAATTCATAGTTGAAGATTGCTTCATCTAATATTGTTTTCTTATTGAACTGATTTGGTGTTTAACCATTCATTATTATGTTACATTATTTGATGTTCGTTCAATGTTCTTCTTTCATCTAGCTTCTGCATTAAAGTCAAAATAAAATTATGATCTTGCTGACTGCTTTGTGCAGCCTTGCTCGTCAATGTGCTCAGCTTTGGGTGGAAACTCGAGAAAACCTTGGACATCCTTTGGGTGCTTACGAAGAGGATAACCTTATCTATCCTCATGTCTCCGAAAAACCTCGTAGAGAGGTAGTTCATTTACATTGCTATCCGCTGAGTATTTTTTACGAAGAAAATCACATAAGAATGCACATATGATGTTGCAGACTACACAAAACAAAACACATGTTGTTTGTGTTAGAGTATTTACCTCCTCTGTTCTTGTGCCGCCATCTTCTGGCTGGCTTAAGCCCTTTGGGCTCTCCCATGTATGCATTAATCTCCTCTAGATATGTGCCACCTCTTCCAGGCTGGCTGGCCCTTTGGGCTCTACTCCTCTCTATATATGTAAACCTCCTCTGTTATTCAATAATCAATCACAATAGCCTGTTAGGCTTCGTTCTATCATGGTATCAGAGCCTTGTTCAGTCCTCTTCCATCGCCTGCAGCAAGACCGAGGACGACTCCCTTTGTCATGCTTGTCAACTCGGGCGTCATGTCCGTTTACCTTTTTCTAATTCCTTGTCCCGTGCATCAAAAAATTTCGATGTTATCCATTGTGATCTATGGACATCCCCTATTATGAGCATATCTGGTTTAAGTATTATCTTGTTATAATTGGATTGCTCTCATTTTCTTTTGACTGCTTCCTCTTTTCTTTCGACTTTTCCTCTTCGACTTTCCGATACTTTCCCTACCCTCTCCAATTTCTTCACTTATGTGCACACCCAATTCGGCTGTACCATCAAGTCTGTCCAATGTGACAATGGGCGGGAGTTTGACAACTCCGCTTCTCGTGCTTTCTTTCTTGCCAAAGGGTCACCTTCGCATGTCACCTATACCTCCCAACAAAGCGGCAATTTGAACGCACTATCCGCACCACCAACAATGTCATTCGCACCTTCTTGTTCCAAGCTTCCATGCCCCCTTCCTATTGGGTGATCGCTTGCTCTGACCACCCACCCATTGAACCGCCTCCCCACCAAGACCCTCAACATGAGCACTCCTTCTTTGCCTTCATGGCTCCCAACCCCTATCATGATCTCCGGGCTTCGGGTTTTGCACGTGTTTACCCCAACCTCACCGCCACCACCCCTCACAAACTTGCCCCCGCTCCTCCTCGCGGCGCTTTTCTTGGGTACTTCACAAAGGCTACAAATGCCTCGACATCGCCGAATCGGGTCATTATTTCTAGCAACGTTGTCTTCGACGAGACAACGCTTTTCCACTCTCGAGCTCACTCTCGCTGAGCTCGACTTTCCTGACGACGCTCATTGCATGCCGTTCTTTCGTACTCGCCCGCAGACTGCTTCTAAATTCCTCTTCAGCCCTTTCAGGCCTGGGCTTCTCCGCCTGTTGTACCTGGGCGAGACTCACCTGCCGCCTTCTTTCCCCCTTCACTCCAGAGCCACCCTCCTCCGCTGAGCTCGACCTCCGCCTTTTGCCAGGTTTCGTTCTTTCCCGGGTACCGCCGCCTAGGCACCACCTCCTGCGCACAAATCATCCAGGGGCCTCATTTGGGCCCTCCAAATTTCGCCTGTGCGCCCAGGCCTCGGCACCTCCATCCGCCTTGGCCCCCTCCTTGTCGGCGCCCTCTGTCTGTGCTTGAACCGTCGTGCATGTCTGTCTGTGACGTGCTGACCACGGTCCCCACCGCGCCACCTCGCCGTCCGTCACCGACTCACATCAAGCATCCCCACCACACGGCCCTCCCCGACGCTCGGCTGATTCCTCCCCCGCTTCGTCAGCGGGATCCTCCTCTTCCCAAGTTCCCATCCGCCGGGTTGCTAACACTCATGGCATGGCAACCCGTGGGAAGATCGACTATCGACGGCCCGACTTGCTCTCCGCCCACGGCGTTGTCATTCGCCGCGATCCCGCCGGGATGCCCTTGGCGATCCCTCATTTGGCGCGAGCCATGGAAGATGAGTTTCTTTGCTCTGACGGACAACCACACTTGGGATCTCATTCCTCGGCCTCAAGCAAATGTGGTCACCGGAAATGGATATTCAAGCATAAGTTCCACGCCGATGGCTCTCTGGAGCAGATACAAAGCTCACACACTGGAGTTGACTATGATGAGACATTGGCCCGCCGTCGTCAAGCCACCGCCTTATCACCGCCTTGTCCTCACCTTGGCTCCTCCCGGATGGCCTATTCATCAACTTGATGTGAAGAACGCCTTCCTCCACGGGATTCTGTCCGAAACGGTGTACTGCTCCCAACCCACCGGGTTTGTTGATCCTGCTCTTCCTGGACATGTGTGTCGGCTCAATAAGTCTCTCTACGGTAAAAAGGCACCTTTTAACCTCGCGCTTGTCACACGGTTTGCCTCTCACCTTTCATCTTTGGGGTTTCAAGCTGAAGTCGGACACCTCTCTATTCATATATCACCATGGAACCGAGGCCCCTGCCACTTGCTCCTCTATGTGGGCGACATTGTGCTCACCGCCTCCTCTCTCAAGACTCCTTCACCGAAGTTATTGCTGCCCTAAAGAATGAGTTCGCCATGAAGGATCTCGGTCCCCTACATCACTTCCTTGGTGTGGGCTGTCAAAGATCGCATGATGACTCCCTCTTCTGTCCCGGTGGCGGTACACCCTCTGGACATTCTTGCTCGCCATGGCATGAGTGATTGCAAACCATGTACAACACCGGTTGACACTTGTGCCAAGATTGCTGCGAGATGATGGACCCTCTGTGGTGATCCTACGCTACTGCAGCCTTGTAGGTGCTCTTCAAGACCTCACATTCACCCGACTGACATCACCCCACGATTCAAAGAAGTTGCCTTCACATGCATGATCCCCGGAGACCCACTTGGTTGTCGCCAAGCGCATTCTCCGCTACCTACAAGGCACCATCACCCACGGCCTTGTCATTCCCAGTCTACTCAACTCACTCACCGCCTGTGACGCCGACCGGGAAATTTGCCCACACACCTGCCGTCGCTCCACCTCCGGTATGTCTTCCTCGGCATGACCTTTGTCTCTTGGTCCTCCAAGCGCTAGCCCACTCTCGGTCCTACGGCGTTGCCGAGGCAAATCAACAAGTTAATCGCAGGCATTGCTGCAAGCAGCGTTCTTTGAAACAACGCACAGTAGCTTCTGATCCGCTTTGCCTCGTCTCTGCGACAACGTCATTGCCCGTCTACCTCTCCACCAACCCATCGGCACCGGCGCACCAAAGCACGTGAAATTGACCTCCACTCGTCCCATGAAGCGGGTCGCTATTGGGGCTGTCCGTGTTCTCCACGTCCCCACCACGTCGCGATTTGATGTCTTCACCAAAGGACTCCCCTTCGATTGTCTTCATGGAGTTTTCGCCGATCTGAGCGTTCGTGCTAACGGACGCTCATTGCTGGGGTGTTAGAGTATTTACTTTCTGTTCTTGTGCCGCCATCTTGGTGGCTTAAGCCCTTTGGGCTCTCCCATGTATACATTAATCTCCTCTAGATATGTGCCACCTCTTCCAGTGGCTGGCCCTTTGGGCTCTACTCCTCTCTATATATGTAAACCTCCTCTCGTTATTCAATAATCAATCACAATAGCTTGTTAGGCTTCGTTCTATCAGTTTGACCCTAGAAATTTGGTTTACGCCATTCAGAAGTCTTTGGTGCAACCACGAGGCGTTTGTTCTTGAAATAGGAACAGAAGAGTTGCCACCCGTGATGTCGTAGAAGCAATTGAACAGGTAAACATGGCTTTCCATTTGTATCTAAAGAACATGATGATCCTTGCTTGCAAATTTTTTTTCTTTACTAGAATTTGCTGACTTTGTTTCATAGTGGAATGACTTGTGATCTGTTGCTTGTTGATCTTCAGCTTGAGAAATCTCTAGTTAATACATTGGAGAAACGTAGATTTGTATCATCCTGACAATTTTCATCTCACATTTAGTTTCCTGACCAGCCTTCTTGATGTATTTTTAGCGGTATCATCCTGACAATTTTCATCTCACATAGCCTTCTTGATGTATTTTTCTACACCGTCATATCTTTCAAGCTTCATCAGAAATTGCAGTCATGTAATGTCTAAAATCTCTGCAATATTTGTATTCCTTCTGTGAGTAGAGACCAGGAGCCAGTTTGGTGTGTGTTCAGTTAGAAATGAATGTGATAACCTGCCTGATGACTAAGCCAATTGCATGGTGGAGAACTTTTCTTACTCATTAAAATTTCCTTTGCTTAGTATATTAGGGATGTTTGTGCATTTTAGTCACACGGAAATATCTAAAACGGTGTACATGAACACGAAAACATTTTTGAAAGAAGTGATTTCTTGGTGGGCATCTTTTAGTTATGTTTGTTATATGGAAAACCCTTAATATATTAGACCACTATTTTTTTTACATCTACACTTGTCCAATCTGAAGCAATAAGAAGTCCAGCTTTGATTTACAGATTGTTGTTGAAAATCTTAGTATGAAGCAAACAGAGGTAGAGGTTGAACTACGTGGTCCACCAGTTGCGAAGGCATTTGACGACAAAGGAAACCCCACTAAGGTTGGCTATCCACAAGAAACTTGGCTATACTCTGCTGTTGTGATATTGCTTATTTTTGTGTCTCTTTTGTAGCCTGAAACATGAATATGTGCATGTGGAAAATAAAATCTAGTTTGGTTCTTAATTAGGAGGAAGAGAGTAGCATCATTTACAAAAGCTGCATTTTTTACCATTGCCGATAAGGACCTTATCCTCTTAGAATAATTTTCTTTTGATGGAATTTTTACAGAATAATTTTCTTTGTTCCTATCCAGGCCGCTGAGGGATTTTGTCGAAAGAATAATGTCTCTGTTGATCATCTATATAGAAGAATAGATGGTATACAAAACAAGCTCTTCCCTTTTAAATATTTATAATTGCCACTTCCTTTTAGAGTTACCAATTTCTCTTTCTAGCTTTTGGGTTTATCTTCATCATTGCACCATTTATATAATTATATTGCTCATTGTGATTGGTTGCCAACTTACCTACCTACAGTCATCTCCACTTCTTGTTCGTGCTTGCTGTGTTCGAATCACCATGTGGAATTGATAGCACGGAATTTACTATAGAGCTGATGACCTGTGTAGATCATTCATTGATATTACATTTAGTTATTTTATAGGATAACCTTAGCTTTAGTTTAGTTCTCATCTGCTTATTCTCTATAAATTTATTCAGTGCTAGAAATAGAGGGTACTGAATTGATTAGATGAATCCATATTTTATCAAGAGAAAATTGAAGTTTTTTTTTCAGATTTATTATCTGCTTCCTATATCTTATTACCAGATGCCCATGTTGAGGCCTTATGCTTATATATAACACATAATACTGCTTCCCCCTTATAACCCCCTTTTTTCTTAATTATCTCTTCTTGTTGTTTAAAGAGGCCTAAATTTCATGAAAAAAATCACACTTTACAGGTAAAACAGAATATATCTATGCTAGAGTCAAAGAGTCTGCTCGTTTTGCTGATGAGGTTATTTCTTATCCTATATATTTGCTTGACAGAAGATTGTATTGGATACCTGAAGTAGGGCCTTAGTTGATCAACAGAGTTTTCAAGAGTTAAAAAGTTATTCCTCGTATATTCGTGGTGTTTATAAACAATGGACTTTCTGGCACTGGAATGAGAATGATATATGTTGCATTTTGCTAGGCTTTCTTAGAGCAGCTTGCTTGTATTCGGATCAACATACTAATCTAGTCATCCATTTTTTTAATTGTCAGTACCAGATGGCAAACTCTAATGTCTAAACAGATTAAATGCTCCATCCTATTTACCATCAGTCAACCTCCATAAACTAGGTGCTATGTTTTCTTGTGCGAAGTGAAAGCAATAGGATTTCACGGGAAATTAGTAGATTGATTATGAGGCCAAGAGGCAGGGGTACATATAGAGGCAAGGAGGACCCAGGGTTGGTTTATAGAAGTATGACCACCGTCGGATCTCCTTGCCTATTATAAGAGTAATCAATCTATAATAACCATAATGGGCCAACAGCCATGCGTTGCCGGGGCTGCAGCAGAGTTTCTGCCAGATGATCTGAGCAGAAGGACAAAGAAGAAGGCAATGCGATCGCTGGACATCCTCAGCGAAAATGAAGGTATTGACCAACAAGCTCAGGATGATTACGCCAAGTTGTTTAGACATCCTCTGTCTGATTCACACCTCCGGGCGCTGTCTGCTCTGTTCAAGTGTTCCTTGCCTGTGGACTTTGGCCAAGGGGTTGACAGTGAAATGTTGGGATTGCTTTCTGTTATATGTTTGGTCGGCTTCAAATGTGTTTTTATGGATCCTGCAAAAATTTTAATTTGGAATGTTAGGGGTCTAAATTCTACCTCCAGGCAAGACTCCGTACGCTCTATTGTGGATTCCTCTCGGTCGGACATTGTGTGTATTCAGGAAACCAAAGTCACAGATATGTCTCGCAGAATTATTCTCTCTAGTCTAGGCTCGGATTTCTCTGACTTCATTGCTGCTCCTTCTGTTGGAGCCAGTGGAGGAATCTTGATCGCTTGGAGACAGCATATTGGAGTTTCTCTAGCTCGGCGGGTTGACCACCACAGCGTAACAGTTCAGTTCTCTACAGAAAATGGGCAGTCACGGTGGTTGACCAGTGTGTATGGACCCCAAGGCAATGACGACAAAATTCAGTTTCTGCAGGAGTTAAGGGATATTCGTGCAGCATGTCCGGGACCATGGGTGGTGGCTGGGGATTTTAATCTAATCTACAGAGATGAGGACAAGAATAATGCTAATTATAATAGGGCAATGATGGGTCATTTCAGAAGGTTCATCAATGATTTGGCTCTCAAAGAGATACCCCTGCATGGTCGCAAGTACACGTGGTCAAACCAGCAAAACTCTCCAATCTTGGTAAAATTGGATCGAGTGCTATGCTCAGTCGACTGGGAAGAGAAATTTCCCAACTGCTTGCTTCAGAGTATGGCTTCAGATGATTCTGATCATTTCCCTTTTCTGCTGGGCCTCCAAGATAATAGACCAGGACGACCCAGATTTCACTTTGAGTCCTTTTGGACAAAACTTGATGGGTTCCAGGAGGCTGTCGCTTCAGCGTGGGCTTCAACCCCTGCTGGCCCATGCCCTTTTATAACTCTAAACAAGAAGTTTAAAGCTGTTACCAGGGGCCTGCAGAGTTGGAGTGATAAGGCGGTGGGCCAAGTTAGCTTTCAGCTTGCCTTACAACAACAACAACAACAACAACAACAAAGCCTTTAAGTCCCAAACAAGTTGGGGTAGGCTAGAGTTGAAACCCACAAGAAGCAATCAAGGTTCAGGCACGTGAATAGCTGTCTTCCAAGCACTCCTATCTAAAGCTAAGTCTTTGGGTATATTCCATCCTTTCAAGTCTCCTTTTATTGCCTCTACCCAAGTCAACTTCGGTCTTCCTCTGCCTCTCTTCACGTTACTATCCTGGCTTAGGATTTCACTATGCACCGGTGCCTCTGGAGGTCTCCGTTGGACATGTCTAAACCATCTCAACCGGTGTTGGACAAGCTTTTCTTCAATTGGTGCTACCCCTAATCTATCACGTATATCATCATTCCGAACTCGATCCCTTCTTGTATGACTGCAAATCCAACGCAACATACGCATTTCCACGACACTTATCTGTTGAACATGTCGTCTTTTCGTAGATCAACATTCTACACCATACAACATAGCAGGTCTAATCGCCGTCCTATAAAACTTACCTTTTAGCTTCTGTGGTACCCTTTTGTCACATAGGACACCAGATGCTTGCCGCCACTTCATCCACCCCGCTTTGATTCTATAGCTAACATCTTCATCAATATCCCCGTTTCTCTGTAGCATTGATCCTAAATATCGAAAGGTATCCTTCCTAGGCACTACTTGACCTTCTAAACTAATATCTTCCTCCTCCCGAGTAGTAGTGCCGAAGTCACATCTTATATACTCAGTTTTAGTTCTACTGAGTCTAAAACCTTTGGACTCCAAAGTCTCCCGTCATAGCTCCAGTTTCTGATTCACTCATGTCCGGCTTTCATCAACTAGCACTACATCGTCCGCGAAAAGCATACACCAAGGGATCTCCTCTTGTATATCCCTTGTGACCTCATCCATCACTAAAGCAAATAAATAAGGGCTCAAAGCTGACCCTTGATGTAGTCCTATCCTAATTGGGAAGTCACCCGTGTCTCCATCATTTGTTCGAACTCTAGTCACAACATTGTTGTACATGTCCTTAATGAGCCCGACGTACTTTGTTGGGACTTTATGTTTGTCCAAAGCCCACCACATAACATTCCTTGGTATTTTATCATAAGCCTTCTCCAAGTCAATAAAAACCATGTGTAGGTCCTTCTTCTTCTCCCTATACCGCTCCATAACTTGTCTTATTAAGAAAATGACTTCCATGGTTGACCTTCCGGGCATGAAACCAAATTAGTTCATAGAGACCCGCGTTATTGCTCTCAAGCGATGCTCGATAACTCTCTCCCATAGCTTCATAGTATGGCTCATCAACTTAATTCCCCGGTAATTAGTACAACTTTGAATATCCCCTTTATTCTTGGAGTTCGGTACCAATATACTTCTCCTCCACTTATCAGGCATCTTGTTCGATCGAAAAATATTGTTGAATAGCTTGGTTAGCCATACTATAGCTATGTCCCCGAGGCATTTCCACACCTCGATTAGGATACCATCCGGTCCCATTGCCTTACCTCCTTTCATCATTTTCAACGCCTCTCTGACCTCAGATTCTTGGATTCTCCGCGCAAAGCGTCTATTGGTGTCATCAAAAGAGTCATCCAACTGAAAGGTTGTGTCTGTATTCTCACCATTGAACAATTTATCAAAATACTCTTGCCATCGATGTCGGATCTCATCCTCCTTCACCAAGAGATGTTCCCTTTCATCCTTAATGCACTTAACTTGGTTGAAGTCCCTTGTCTTTCTCTCACGAACCCTAACCATCCTATAAATGTCCTTCTCTCCTTCCTTCGTACTCAAATGGTGGTAAAGATCCTCGTACTTCTCTATGTTGTCCACACTCCTGTCATGGTACAAGCGTCTATAGCATTCTTTCTTCTCCTTAATAGCCCTTTGGACTTCCTCGTTCCACCACCAAGTATCTTTAGCCTCGCCTCCACTTTCTTTGGTTACTTCACACACCTCTGAGGCTACCTTTCGAATGTTGGTTGCCATCTTCTCCCACATGTTGTTTATGTCATCTTCTTTCTTCCAAGAGCCCTCTTTGATAACCCTTTCCTTGAATATCTCTGACGTCTCCCCTTTCAGTTTCCACCACTTTGTTCTTTCAATCTTAGCTTGTTTATCCCTACGGGCACGCATCTGAAAACGAAAGTCTGCCACCAAAAGTTTATGTTGAGAAACAACACACTCCCCTGGTATCACCTTGCAACCTAAGCATGCTTGTTTGTCCTTTCTTCTTGTGAGGACAAAGTCAATCTGGCTAGAGTGTTGTTCGCTACTGAAGGTCACTAGATGAGATTCTTTCTTTCTAAAGAAAGTGTTGGCTATCATCAGGTCAAAAGCTACCGCGAAGTTCAGAACTTCCTCCCCCTCCTGATTCCTACTACCATACCCAAAACCTCCATGAACTGCCTCGAAACCTGCGCTTGTAGTACCTACATGCCCATTAAGATCTCCTCCTATAAAAAGCTTCTCACTATTAGGTACAGCTGTAATTAGGCCATCTAAGTCTTCCCAGAACTGTCTCTTAGCACTCTCGTCGAGGCCTACTTGGGGGGCATACGCACTAATTACGTTCAAGACCATATCACCAATGACAAGCTTGACTAAGATAATCCTATCTCCTTGCCTTCTCACTCCCACCACACTATTCTTGAGGCTCTTATCAATCAAAACTCCTCCATTTCTATTCGCAACTGTCCCTGTGTACCAAAGCTTGAAACCTGTATTGTCCACCTCCTTTGCCTTCTGACCCTTCCATTTAGTCTCTTGAACGCATAATATATTTACACACCTCCTAGTCGCGGTATCAGCTAATTCTCTTAACTTACCTGTAAGCGACCCTACATTCCAACTACCTAAACGGATCCTAGTTGGTTTGACTAGCTTCCTTACCCTTCGCACCCGTCGACTCAGATGCGAAGACCCTTGCTCATTTGTCACTACACCCGGGCGCCGATGTAGCGCGCCACTAAGGATGCGACGACCCGATCCTTGATCACTTGACACCGTGCCCAGATCGCAACACGGCGCGTCATGGGGGTGACGACCCGGCCCTTGCTCATTTAACACCATACCCGGGTTCCGATATGGCGCGTCGCTAAGAGGGTTACGCCCCAACGGTTTTCTTTCGGGTTTCATCTCCATTAGAATGGCTAGATTTAACGTTGGCTCGCCACGCCTATCACAACCCTCCTCCTTTACCAGGGCTTGGGACCTGATATGTTGAGACAACATAGGCGGAGTTAGCTTTCAGCTTGCCTTGGAGAATTATGGCTCAAGAACAATTTGAAGAAGCACAGCTTGGCCCTAGCATCCCTCAAGCGTACAATGGCTCGCTTACGCTCAAGGATCAGTTGGCTCAAAGATGGTGATGCTAATACAAGACTCTTCCATATGCACGCCCGACACTGAAAAAGGAAGAATTTTATTGGGAAGCTTATTGCGGGAGAACGGGTTTGCACCAGCCATGAGGACAAGACTGCAGTTATTGATGACTTTTATGAAAATCTGCTGGGAACCTGTACAGTAAGGGAGCACATGATCAACTTGGCTGATTTGGGAATTAATGCACAAGATATGTCGGAGCTTGAACTTTCCTTCACTGAAGATGAGGTATGGAGGACAATCCAGCAGCTACCTTCAGATAAAGCCCCTGGGCCGGACGGGTACACAGGTCAGATAAATCCTTCTGGGCTATTATAAAAGAAGACATTATGGTGGCAATCTCAGCAGTATGGAGCAGGAAGATGGTGAATTTTGGAACTCTCCATTCAACCTATATCACCCTCCTCCCCAAAAAAGAAGGTGCGAAACAGCCCAAGGATTTCAGGCCCATAAGCTTGGTCCATAGTTTCGCCAAACTAATCACAAAGCTGCTTGATAATCGCCTTGCACCTAGGCTGCAACAGATCGTTTCTCCTAACCAAAGCGCCTTCATAAAAGGGCGTTTTATACAAGATAATTTCATGTTGGTTCAGCGGACAGCGAGGTTCCTACATCAGCAAAAGCAGCCCCGAATTCTACTCAAGTTGGACATTTCGAAGGCATTTGATTCCGTGTCCTGGCCCTTCCTACTTGAGATCTTGCAGCAGCTCGGTTTTGGACAGATTTGGCGGGATGTAATCAGTGGGCTGCTATCCTCTTCGTCAACTCAAGTCTTGCTAAATGGGATCCCGGGTGATCATATTGCTCATCGACGAGGGCTGCAGCAAGGTGACCCCCTCTCCCCGATGTTGTTTATCTTGGTTATGGATGTATTGGGGCACATGATTTTGAAGGCCGAGAATGATGGCTAGTTGCAGCCACTGTCTAGGCGCAGCTTACAGCACAAAATATCTATTTATGCGGATGATGTGGTTTTGTTCCTCCGTCCAGAAGCTGGGGACATTGATGTAACTTTGGGTATCCTCAATTTGTTCGGAGAATCAATGGGGCTCAAGACAAACTTACAAAAGAGCGATGTGTTGCCCATCAGATGTGGTGATGTGGAGCTTGCAACAGTGCAAAACCTGCTGCCCTGTGCACTCAGACTTCCCATGCAAATATTTGGGATTGCCTCTCTCTCTGAAGAAGCTCACCAAGGAACAAATTCAGCCCATTATTGACCGCATTGCTGATCAGCTTCCTGGCTGGAAAGCGGATTTGATGACCAAGGTCGGAAGAAAGGTTCAAGTTCAGTTTGTGCTCACTGGTATGCTCATCTATCTAGCTATGGCTTTTGATTTCCCACCTTGGGCTATTAGAGAAGTGGATAAAATTCGGCGTGGGTTCCTTTGGAGAGGCCGCAGAGATGCAAAAGGAGGCACTGTCTCGTTGCTTGGGTTAAGGTATGTCTCCCTAAAGAACTTGGAGGTTCAGGAATTTCAGATCTTAAATCTCTGGGCTGGGCACTGCGAATGAGATGGGTCTGGTTACAAAAAACAGAGCCGATCTTCCAATCCATGTCCCAGAGCAAGTCAGAGCCTTCTTCAAAGTGGCTGTTTATTCTGAAGTAGGAGATGGAACAAAAACCCTTTTTTGGACAGACCGTTGGCTCCATGGACAATGTATCGCAGATCTTGCGCCCCGTCTTTTCGCCATCATTCTTAAAAGGAGGATCAAACAACAAACTGTCCAGGATGCCCTCACCAACCAGTCTTGGATTTTTGACATAGAAGGGGCCACCACAGTAGGTGTAGTTATTGATTATCACCACCTATGGGATGCCCTATCTGATTTCTTTTTGCAACCGGATGTTGAAGATAGACATATTTGGCGGTTTTCATCAGATGGGCAATATTCGGCCAAGACTGCATACAAGGGATTTTTTGTGGGGACTACATCTTTTGAGCCTTATGAGAGAATTTGGAAGACTTGGGCACCGCCCAAATGCCGCTTCTTTGTTTGTTTGGTAGCTCATAATCGATGTTGGACTGCGGATCGCCTTGCACGCCGTGGGCTCCCTCATCCTAAGCGCTGTCCTTTGTGTGACCAGGCTGCTGAAACTATTGATCACCTCTTAGTTCAGTGTGTCTTTGCAAGAAAGTTTTGGTTCTGCTTCTTTTCTCGGATTGGACTCCAAGCCTTTTCCCCGCAACCGACAGAAACATCCTTCCATTTTTGGTGGGAGAAAGTGAGCAATGCTGCTAGTGATGATACGTTAAGGAAGGGAACCAACTCTCTCATAATCCTTGGAGCTTGGACCTTATGGACACACCGCAACAAATGCGTCTTTGATGGAGCAGCCCCAAATGTTGTAGGCGCACTTGCTGTAGCTGAAGATGAAAGAAGGTCGTGGTCTTTGGCGGGGGCTCGAGGATTATCCCTCTTGGATGCCCTCGCTCCGGGTGGTTAGAGCCCTGTCTACCTTGGTCGTGATCTTTATGTCACGGGCGCGTTAGTTTTCTAGCAGCAGCAGTGTGTGTGTGTGTGTGTAGAGTTGTGTGTGGTTTTTGTGTGTTGTGTTGTATGGGTTCTTATCCCATTTTATTATCTTCTTGATATAATGATGCGCAGCTCTCTTGCGTTTTCGAGAAAAAAAAGGCAGCGACTGGCGCACTAACACGAAGAATTAATAATACAAGAAGCTATCGATGCTTAACAATAATTAATTACTTAATTATTAAGTACTGTGTTCAGAGTCCATGTCTTCCGGTACCTGACTCGACATGTGTGGCTTCGCATATTCTTTTCTATTTCCTGCAGTGTGTATCTCTCTGCTTCTGTCCTTTAATTGTAGCATGTCAACTGCAGGTCCTAGCTGAAGATATACCTACTATTGTTTCTGGTATTTCATTTCCCAAGTCGATGCGCTGGAACTCCAATGTATGTGTACCCTGAATGGCCTTTATGCTGCCAATGTGCTATTATGTTTGAGGAATCCAGAATCCTAGTCATCTATCAAATGATCTAATGCCACTATAGTTTCAAATTAAACTGATTACATATGTGTTAGAGTACTTGTATCAACAGAACTCATAACTTAGCTGTAGCTAGTTCTCTTCTGTTGTTTCACCTAGGGGGGGACCCTTCCTGAAAATAATACATAGATAAAAGGGTAATATACAGAATGAATGCTTCTTCATAATTTTACCTTTGGTTAATCTTGGATAAATTCTCAACTATAGTTACTTCTTTCCTTTTCTGTGGTGAGGACAATAGTTACTTCTTTAATTTGGGCAATGAGCTTTACAGATCCCATTACAAGATCAATGTGCATGCCACTCACTCTAGATTATTTCACTCGCAGATTGTTTTTAGTCGTCCAATACGCTGGATCCTGGCACTTCATGGCGATTTTGTTGTTCCATTTTATTTTGCTGGTATCTCAAGGTACTACATTTTGTATTAGTTCTCGATCTTGTTTTGTCATAAATTTTGAGCATTCTTGTTTCTATCAATTAACAAACAAGGTTTGCATTGGCAGTGGGAATCAGTCATGTGGCCTTCGTAACTCTTCTTTGGCTAATTTTGAGGTACTAATTGGATTGCTTGTTTGTATATTTCATCTATTTTGCTTCTTTTGTAACTTCTATCTTGATGGTTGTCTTGAGTAAGAATGTTGCTGCATAAACTAAACTTTTATGATATTATACATTGTATTTCAGCAAACAATACATAAAAGATTCTTTTCTGACATCTTCCCTTTCTCTTGTATTGTACATAAATAAAATAACTAAAGCAGCATACTACCAGCTCATCATATGTACCATGGAAGTAATCCGAATTTTTTCTCCAATTTCAGGTGGAAACTGCAGAATCATATTTACATAGTGTGGAAAAAGCTGGGATCTTGATTAATATGCAGGTGAGATGAGTGCATATAGGTTGTTCATACACACTTAAGTGATCCACAAACTCATTTTTAATTTTTTTATTAACAAAGTAATGTTTTGTTTGGAGGTTTCTTAACGTCAAATCTCAATCTCACGCAATATTTGTGTTATGACCGGAATCCAGTATGCAAGGAGAAGGGCCACGGGTGGCTGACCTGGGCGCCTGGTGCATGGGCTTAGGGCCCAGGATAATTATCTATATTAGAATTATTGGCTATTGCCGAGTCAGTTTCCTATTTTTAGAAGAACTATATATAGATGAATTGTAAAACGATTGGGAATCAGCAGAAACAATATATTGTTTCCGGCTTCCTCGAGGAGCCGGATTTTGCCCTAACCTCTCCGCTTTCTTTGCTCTGCGGCGCACAAACCTCGCCACGGGCTTTGCCGCGCGCGGCGAGGTCCCAAGCCGATTCTTCCTCCCTCTCACCCCTACAGGCTTCGTAGTGTTCTGGTAGGATCGGAAATCCTATCAACTGGTATCGGCTTGCGAGGCTACGATGTCGCTTCCCTTGCCTCTGACCACCACGCGCGGCCCGCCCGTCACCCCCCGCGCCGCCGCCGTCTCTGTGAACTCGGGATCTCCGATGCAGCGGCTTCTAAGGGGGCCCCCCCTCACTTTGCATCGTTGGCCTCCGTCGTCCTCGACATCCGGTAGCGAGATGCGGGAGATGAGGGCTGCTGCTCGAACGGGCGTCGCCCAAAGCCGCGCAGCCGCCGCCGTTCCGGCTCATCCTCCTCCGTCGACGCCGCATCTTCCACACTAACGCCGTCTCGCTCGGCGGCATCCTACCCTACGGCATGTCGCGACTCGGGTCCGGCGTTCCCCTCCATCATTCGCGGTGGCCAAGCTTCGCCGTCACCGCATTGCCCGCTGGCTGCAGACCAGGATGGCGGTCTCGCGTAATCTACTCGACGACACCGTCTCCTCTACGCCCGGCGACTTTGGCTCCATCATCGACGATCGCCGCCTCTTCCCCCCCCCCGCCAAATGACATCTTCTATGGGGGGGTAGATGGACCATTGTTCGAGGAGCACCTCCACCCTCGGTAGCCGATTACGGGGTGGTCGACCCGGCCTGCTTCTTTCTGGCGTTTCGCTTTGGGTGGCGCCCAAGCCGGGCCCAAATTCTACAGGTCGGAGTTCCCGACATTCGATGGCTCGGTGGACCCCTAAAGCTGGTTGAACCGATGCGGCGATTCTTGAGGGGCAATGAGACGCCGGCCTCGTCTAGGACTTGGCTCGCGTCCCTACCACTTGCTTGCGGTGCGGCTTCAGACATGGTATTATGCCACAGAGCAAGGCGAGGGGATGCCACCATGGGGCGCTTTCGCCCCCTCGCTCACTCCGCTTCGGACCGCCGGTTACAGGTACTGTTTGGCGGAGCTTCGCCCATCTCCCCTTCGTCTCTCTCATGCGGGACTACTCGAGCGCCATCTAGCGCCGTGCTCGCCATGCCCATGACCTCTCGCTTCGCCAAAAGGCGGAGTTGTACGTGGGCGGCCTCCCGGACCACATCAGGAAGCAGGTACAGATGCGTGCGCCGCCGGACCTCCAGTCCGCCATGTACCTGGCGCGGGCCTTTGAGGACGGCGCGTATACGCCGGCGCCTCCACCACCGGCGCTGGCGGCCACCAACCACCAATGATCGGCTCGGCGGCTGGCACAACAAAGCCCGCCGCCCGGCCGGCCGGCCGCGTTTCCACCGGGACTGTGGGCCGCCGCCTCCACCGGCGCCGGTTCGGCGTCTCCGCCGAGCAGAAGAGAACGTCGCCGTCGGGGTTGTGCTTCAACTGCGACGAGCCCTACGTTCGCGGCCATGTGTGCCCGCGGCTCTTCTACCTAGAGGGCGAAGACTACCTCGACGACGAGCCGGCAGCCGACGCCCAAGATGGCCTGCCGGTCGACCAGGACGCCCACGCACCGCCCGCCACTAACGCCCTCGTGGTTTCTCTTCAGGCTGTTGCAGGGATTTGGGCGGCTAATTCCATGCTGCTGCCCGTCACCATCAAGGGGCGCGCTCCTCGCCCTCCTCTCCTCATCGGGTCGACGACAACCGTGGTCGGGAGACCATGCGTCGCATGGGCCTCGTTCCGGCCGGTGGTGACCACCTGCGGATCATGGTGGCCAATGGTGACCGCATGCCCTGCGAGGGTATCGCTCGCAACGTGCCCATCCGCATCTACGACGAGGACTTCGCCGTCACCTGCGTTGGCCTCGACTTGGGCGGTTTCGACTTCATCATCGGCTTTGACTTCATCCGGACCTTGGGCCCCATCCTATGGGACTGCGAGGCCCTCACGCTATCGTTCTGGAGGAACGGCCGCCGCATCACCTGGCAGGGGGTGGCCGGTGCGTCTGCACCTCAACCGGCCGCCTCTGCCCAGCTGTTCGCCGCGATGGTACCGGACTCCCGGCTGCCCTTGCTAGACGCCCTTCTTTAGCAGCACGCCGCCGTCTTCGCGGAGCCCACGGGGCTCCCTCCGGCGCGTCCCTACGACCACCGCATCCACCTGCTGCCCGGTACCGCCCCCGTGGCGGTGCGCTTCATCGCTACCCCAGTGCGAAGGGCGACGAGCGGAGCGGCGGTCTTGTGATTATGTCCGGGCGCGAGGCATCATCCGCCCAACACGTCGCCGTTCTCCGCGCCCGTTCTCTTGGTGCTGAAGACGGATCAGTCTTGGCGTTTCTGCATCGACTACCATGCTCTCAACGCCAAGACCTCCAAGGACAAGTTCCCGATACCGGTGGTCGACGAACTGCTGGATGAGTTGCACGGGGCGAGGTTCTTCACCAAGCTTGACCTCCGCTCCGGGTACCACCAGGTGCGGATGTACCCCGACGACATCGCCAAGACGGCGTTCCGCACCCACCATGGCCACTTCGAGTTCCTGGTCATGTCATTTGGGCTCTCCAATGCCCCGGCCACTTTCCAGGCCTTGATGAACGACGTCCTCCGCCCCTACCTCCGGAGGTTTGTGCTGGTATTTTTTGATGACATCCTTATCTACAGCTCGTCGTGGGCCGAGCATTTGCAGCATGTCAACATCGTCCTCAACGCTCTGCAAGCGCACCACCTACATCTGAAGCGCTCCTTTGGGGGGCCGTCCGTGGCTTATCTGGGCCATGTCATCGCCGAGGGCGGTGTCGCCATGGACACCGACAAGGTCGCCGCCGTGGCTGCATGGCCGCTTCCCCGCTCCGCCCGGGCCCTCCGCGGCTTCTTGGGCCTGGCAGGATACTACCGGAAATTCATCAAGGACTTCGGCATCATTGCTGCCCCGCTGACGCGTCTCTTGCGGCGAGACGTGTTCCTGTGGGACGACGACGCGACGACAGCTTTCGAGGCGCTCAAACGCGCCTTGACCACAGGGCCCGTCCTGCAGATGCCGGACTTCGACGCGACCTTTGTGGTCGATTGCGACGCGTCGGGTGCGGGGTTCGGCGCCGTCCTCCACCAGGGCGCGGGACCCCTCGCCTACTTCAGCCGGCCCTTTGCAGTTCGACATCTCAAGCTCGCCGCCTACGAACGCGAGCTGATCGGATTGGTGCAGGCGGTGCGCCATTGGCGCCCTTATCTATGGGGGCGGCCCTTCCTGGTTCGCACTGATCATTATAGTCTCAAATTTTTGCTTGACCAGCGTTTGTCCACCGTTCCTCAGCACCAGTGGATCAGTAAACTTTTCGGCTTCGACTTCACGGTGGAGTACCGCCGGGACGCTGAATACCGTGGCCAGACGCCTTGTCCCGCTTGCTGATGATGTTGAGGACGGCGGCGCCGCGCCAAAGACCGAGAGCGCCCGGGGCGGCTATGGCCGTGTCAGGGCCCTCGTTCTCCCTCCTGGAGGACATTCGGCGCGCGACGTCATTAGCGCCGGACGGCCAACGGCTGCTGCAGCAGCTGCAGGCCGGCGAGCTCGGCGAGTCGTGGCGTCTCGACCACGGGCTCCTCCTCCATGGATCTCGCGTTTATGTGCCGGACCATGAGGATCTCCGCCACAGTGCTCCTGGCTGGGCCCATGCGGCCGACCATGAGGGCATCCGAAGACGACCGCATCGCCTCCGCGCGCCGACTTCTACGTTCAGCGGGACAAGGTCTTTGGTTCGGAGACTTGGTGCGTTCACACCACTGCGTGCGGCGTATAAAGACGAGACGCTGCAGCGGGCGGGGGGCTATTGCGACCCCTCGACGTGCCCTCCCAAGTGTGGGCGGATATCTCTATGGACTTCATCGAGGGGCTGCCGAAGGTTGCGGGCAAGTCAGTCATCCTCACCGTCGTCGACCGTTTCTCCAAGTGCGCGCATTTTATTGCACTCGGCCACTCCTACACCGCCACATCGGTCGCCCGTGCCTTTCTGACGGTATTGTGCGCCTGCACGGGTTCCCCCTCTCCATCGTCAGCGACTGGGACCCCGTGTTCACTGGCCATGTGTGGCGGGACCTTTTCAAGATGGCGGGCGTGCAGCTCCGCATGAGTACCGCTTTTCATCCTCAGACGGACGGCTAGTCCGAGGTGGTCAACAAGGTGATTGCTATGTATTTGCGCTGTGTGACAGGTGACCGGCCTCGGGCGTGGGTGGACTGGCTGTCGTGGGCGGAGTATTGCTATAATACTTCCTTCCATACCGCCCTCCGCGCTACGCCCTTCGAGGTCGTCTACGGCCGCCCTCCACCGCCCATTCTGCCCTACAGGCCGGGGACGGCCCGCACGGAGGCCGCCGATACTCTCCTCCGCAGCCGTGACGAGATGCTTGCCGAGGTTCGTCAGCGGCTCCTTCAAGCTCAGCAGCTGTCCAAGAAGCACTACGACGCCAACCACAGGAACGTGGAGTTCGAGGTGGGCTCGTGGGTCTGGCTGCGTCTTCTCCACCGCACCACGCAGTCCCTCGACCCGCGCGCCAAGCGCAAGTTGGGGCCCCGTTGGGCCGGGCCGTTCCGCGTTCTCGAACGCATCGGTCGTGTCGCCTACCGTCTCCAGCTGCCGGAGGGCGCTCGCATCCACGACGTCTTCCATGTTGGCCTCCTGAAGCAGCATCGCGGCGACCCTCCACCAACTCCAGGCGATCTTCCTCCAGTACACGACGGTCGGGTGCTGTCGGCTCCGGAGCGTGCCTTGCGCGCCCAGCAGCGCCGCAGGGTCTGGAGCGTTTTGATCAAGTGGAATGGCCTTCCTGAAGATGACGCGACGTGGGAGATCCTCGACGACTTTCGTGCTGACTACCCCGACTTCCAGCTCGAGGATGAGCTGTTTTTGCAGGCGGGGAGAGATGTTATGACCGGAATCCAGTATGCAAGGAGAAGGGCCACGGGTGGCTGACCTGGGCGCGTGGTGCATGGGCTTAGGGCCCAGGATAATTATCTATATTAGAATTATTGGCTATTGCCGAGTCAGTTTCCTATTTTTAGAAGAACTATATATAGATGAATTGTAAAACGATTGGGAATCAAGCAGAAACAATATATTGTTTCCGGCTTCCTCAGGGAGCCGGGAGTTTGCCCTAGCCTCCTCTGCTCTGCTGCTCACGCGCGCACAAACCTCGCCACGGCGCCTGCTCGCCGGCAGCGAGGTCCCAAGCCAGTTCTTCCTCCCTCTCACCCCTACAGGCTTCGTAGTGTTCCTGGTAGGATCAGAAATCCTATCAATTTGTCACTAAAATATGGGTTTGAACTTTTGATCTTTGCAGCTTTAGTAGCCTGCATGAAGCAGGGAAAAGGCTAAATGGATTCATTCATAATTTTTCAAGTGCTCAGCACTCCAGATGTTACTGTAATGAAGTTTCATAAAATATTCTACTGCAGGAGCGGAAGGAAAAAGTCTTGCATGCCTCTACTGTATTGGCTGAAGGTGTCGGTGGCGATTTTGTTGCGCCTGATAGCTTGCTGCAGGAGGTAGATATCCTTTTATTCCATTTTTTATTTTTTTATCTTAATTTTTATTGTCAAAAAGTGTAATTTCAAACCACATTATGCAGGTTGTCAATCTTGTGGAGGCGCCTGTGCCCATCCTTGGTCGATATGATGATTCCTTCTTAGAACTTCCGAAAGATGTACTGATTACGGTATGTTCAGCCTTTTATTGTGGATGCGTAGAAGCTAACTTTTTTTCTTCAATTCTTGACAATTCAATGACCAAAATTATAAGCCTGCTAACATGTAACCTTGTTTAGAAATATAATGCCTTGTAATGTGCTGCATTTTTTTAATCAGAATTGCAACTACAGGTTATGCAGAAACACCAGAAGTATTTTGCTGTAATCTCCAAGTCCACAGGCGATCTGCTACCTTATTTTATTGCTGTGAGAGATTTTCCTCCATCATATATTTGACAATTGAGTAATGCCTTTTTACCCTTTTGTTTAACTCACTTTTCCCTTAGGTTGCCAATGGTGCAATTAGCGAGGAAGTTGTCCGCAAAGGGAATGAAGCTGTTCTCAGGTTATTGAAAGGCCCTATGATGATTTTATAAACAAGTTGTGGCATGCATTGCAAAGTCAAGATCTTTGCATGAACAACAATCGCCATAGTCAACTAAACAGCATTATGATTGAAGTGTTCTTTCTGTGCCCTCTGAATTTTTTGTTTGATTAGAGGACTTTACTACTTTAGTCAGCTTTAGATTCTGAATTGTCGTACAATGCAGGGCAAGGTATGAGGACGCCAAATTTTTTTATAAGATGGATACACAAAAGAAATTTTCTGAATTCCGAGGCCAGCTTAGTGGCATTCTTTTTCATGTAAGTATACTGTCCTGAATTCTTACGCTATTTCTTTTGTAATGTTTGTCTTTCATAATAATTACATTCTAATTGAATAGGAAAAACTTGGCACAATGCTCGATAAAATGACACGTGTTGAGAATACTGTTGCTGAATTGGCCCTTATTCTCGGAATAAATGAGAGAATGATCCCAATCATCAAAGATGCGGCTGCATTGGCTATGTCAGATCTTGCCACTTCTATTGTCACAGAATTTACTTCACTTGCTGGAATTATGGCACGCCATTATGCTTTGAGAGATGGCATCCCTGAAGAGGTTGTGATTCTTTTTTAATGTGGTAAATTTGGTACCGACTTGTCTTAGCATTCTGTCCATTTTGGCTGATTACATATTCATGTCAAAGATTGCAGAAGCACTATTTGAGATAACACTTCCTCGGTCTTCGGGTGATGTGTTTCCAAGAACAGATGCTGGTATAGTCCTTGCGGTTGCTGATAGGTACTTGTGCACACAAATGTAGACCACTCAGTCTCAACATGAAAAAATAACTTCTGCGTTTCATTTGTTAATTCTGTTAGCGCACAGAAATTTTGTGGCAACTTTCCGGGTAGTACTGCATTTCATTTGTCCAAGAATTTATTCAAGCTAGAGAAGCTGCTACCCTTTTCTCATTTGTTTCACAGATTGGATAGCCTAGTTGGATTGTTTGGAGCTGGATGCCAGCCAAGTTCTACCAATGACCCATTTGGACTTCGAAGGGTCTCTTATGGACTGGTAAGGGAGTTAGAAAAAGCCCAATTACCATCACATAAAACTTTCCCAATTATCATCACATGAAACTTTCTCACATGTATTTTATCTAGGTCCAAATATTGGTTGAGAACAAGAAGAGCTTTGACCTCAGGCGAGCTCTCACCTTATTGGCTGGGGTGCAACCCATAGAAATAGAGACTAATGTTATAGATGAGGTCAGTATGCATTTCAGATAATGTTTATGTACTATGTTCATTTAGTATATGGTTCCTGACAGATTTATTTTCAAAATCCTTTTTAGGCAGTACAATTCATCACAAGGAGACTGGAACAACTTCTGGTACATATTATCTTGATCTTTAATGACAATTGAGTTATATACACATATTAGGATTTTTCATTTTGGGTGTTAGCTAGGGATAGAGATACACTGGTACACACACTGGTACATTTACCATGGAAAACAAAAAAAATTTGGATGGTTATCATTATTTCTCCAACTGCTGTGCTGGTCCTTTATTTGAATAGGATTAACATTTTGAACTGATACATCTGCATTTCATTTAAAACTCATTTTGCTCCATGTAATCAAACTTTTGGTCGATGGAATCCATTGCCTTTTTCAAAGTGGCATCTATTCTTGTCATTGCCATCAGGTGGATGAGGGAATTAACTGCGAGATAGTCCGTTCAGTGCTTATGGAGCGTGCAAACTGCCCTTATCTAGCAGCACAAACAGCAACTGAAGTAAGATGTTATGTGCCCCTCACCAATCCGCCCCAAAGTTCTACAGTTCTTCCGAGTATTCTATAGTTTTTGTTGTGTGGACACTTGCAGATGGAAGCATTTTCAAGAACGGACACTTTTCCAAAAGTTGTTGAAGCGTATTCAAGGCCAACAAGGATCATCCGTGGAAAAGAAATTGAGTCTGTTTTGGAGGTACTGGCTTAAACATGTATACCATCATAAACTACGAGTTCAGTTCAAATTACAGTGAAGTTTTTACTCGCAACTAGCCCATCACCAGTCATGAGTACTCATTATTGGTGCAGTATTTCTCTCCTGACTCTGATTTTATGTGTAGGTTGACCCAAGTGTATTCGAGAAAGATGAAGAAAAAGTTTTGTGGAGCGCCTACTTGGAGGTTGCTGATAAGATCCATCCTGGTACACGTTTTTCAGTTTCATTTTTGTCGTGAATGGCTTGCCTCTCTGCATTATGTCTGATTACCTGTGCTGTATCCAACAACCCATCCTGTAGGTGTTGATATTAAGACCTTTGCCGATGCTTCTCTGCTCCTGATTCAACCCCTAGAAGATTTCTTCAATAGTGTCTTTGTCATGGCGGTGAGTTTGAAATGCCCTTGAAAAACTTCTGTTGTTGCTGATGATGACTACCCTTGCTGTGTTCCTTACTGATGGTGTATATCATGTACAGGAAGACGAGAGAGTTCGCAACAACCGGCTAGCGCTGCTGAGAAAGATTGAGAGTTTGCCCAAGGGAATTGCAGACCTGTCAATTTTACCTGGGTTTTAGCCGGGTGAGCCTGCCTGTAGGCACCAATAATTTCACTGCCGTTCCAGGGGTGAGTGAGTGTAGAGTGGGTGCCGATATATGTGAGGAGATTTTGCAAATTAATTATCCTGGAAAGCAAATGTTTTAAAAGCAAGTTTGTTGAAGAAAGAGAAAATTGGCGTCGAGTGGAGAGCAGCGGCACAGCACTGCTTTGCTGTTGCTCCAATAGAGCACACGCAAGTTATGAGTATTTTGCATCTGTAGCGGGGAGATGATTTTACAAGTACAACAACAGGCAGTCGAGGCCCGATTACAGCAAGGTGCTTATCTCATAATAATGTTGCTCTGAAGAAATTCCAGTACTGAACTTTTGGACCCGATTACAAGCTGTTACTAAACTACTTTTAAAGAAAAACAAAACCTCCTCACAGAAGGGCAATCAGCAATGCACGCTATCCCAGTGAACACTGTAGAAGGAAACATTAATATGTTTGGAAGATCCATCTATAAATTACGCATGGCCAGTCAGGAAGGACATATTAGGGCACCAATCAACAAACGGAATCATATCTCAATCTTGTGTACACATTGATCTAACCACCAGATTGACAAACAATACAGACCTGTTCACAGCGATCTAACCACTATTATATGGATGCTGTTTTTTTTAATGCTGCAAATAATGTCTCTGTAAATCTTTGCAGTATTATGTATTTCTACGTGTGTGGACACTTGAGTTTTCCAATTATATCAGACTCAGAATACGAGAGGTGTCAATATTATCAACCCAGAAGTTTTAGTCAAGTTAAATTCAGAAAAAGAAAAGGAAAAGGAAAACAAGTTCTAGTCAAGTTCATTCATGCATGTTTTACAGGATTACTCTCTTTACCCACAAAAAAAAAGCCACGTAAAGGTTCAAATTTTGTCCCACAATAAAGCCTTCACAGGTTTCTGCAGCTTCCAATATACAGCCAGCAGTGCACGAGAAAGAAAAACAACAGCACACCCTAAACAAGAGGTGAGCATTCCGAAACCAATAGCTCAATATACAAGGACACGACCAAAAAGAGAAAAGGTTACAGTGGTATTACATTTAAATCAAGGGAGAGGTATCGACCAGTTCTGTACGGCAGATTACATCCTCGGCCCAACAAATCAGGGTTATTAAGTACTATCAATGCAAAATCAGGCTACAAAGCTCGTCAATGTGCCCTCACCTACCTACCTACCTAGATACATACACAGAGACACTTGAATCTGAGCACCATCCAGCCCTAATTTCCTGTTTAACAGCTACATGACAATTAGTCACCCCTCTAAGTTGTCTCTCCCTTCTCTGCTGGTTGAGATAGATACTTATCAGCGTAGTGTAGAAGCCGCCGCATCCTTAGGACCATGTCACAGTGGAAGGGCAGGGCAGTGCGCCTTTCTGTGTACACCGGGCTTACTGTCAACCAAGAAAGGGAGTGAAGCTCCGCGGCCACAGCTTCCAGCACATTATGCATCTCCATCTCACAGTCTCGAGTTGTTGTTTCCTGAGTGAAGTTCCTTGCCTGTTTGCTCATGTTGCTGCCACCACCGCCTCGGCTCATCTTTTCTTGAACATTGGCAATGCTGCCTCCATAGTGATCAATGATGCTAACTGAGAGAACAGAGGGTTGTTCATCCTTGGTGAGCTGTGCAGAGTCCCTCCTTACAGGTGGGACGGCTTTGGAGACGACATAACACATTGCTAAGGGAATTGCAGTCCCTTTGCTGTGCAATAGATGGGCAAGCGGTGGTGATTCTGATGTGAGGCATGTCGGGAGCTGTAATGTTGCAGGAGAAAGATATCTCATACTTGGTGAAGGAACTAGGAGATATGAGTGTGATGCTGGCATTGACCCAATGGACTTCACTGGAGTGAAACCTTCCAAGTAACTCGAAGGGCCACTGCTGCCTTGATTCCCTTCGCCTGTAAAAAGGGCCACAATTTGACAAGCTTAAATCTTTTACTATTGATTTCCTTGCAAACAAAGGGTTATATGCTCATGTAGTGATAAACTGCTGTAGGTTAAAATGATTTTTAAGTGGTCAATAAGTAACAAGTAATTAATCTGTGTTGGAACAAAATGCATCACTGAATAGATATCCACATCAAATGGGCATAAAGTGGTATCTTCTGGAGTATTTTAGTATATACGGTGGTCTATATACAGGAGGTTCTTACCAGAAGCATGTCTGGTCAACAGATCCGCTTGGCATGTGAGATGCAACGAATGATCTTGTGAAACTGCAACCAAACTGATGCTGCGAACTAGGTGCAGTGATCCCCTTGAAGTGTCCATTCCAGTTTGTTCCACAAGTATCTGCTTTTTGTTGCCAGATTGTCCAAGTGCACCTTTCATGAAGCTTGATTTTGAATGAGGGCTGTACAAAGGGTTTGGTGAGGAAGGCATGTTTCTATCTTGAATTAAGGCCATGTCTTGCTGCTGGAGTGTAGGACCATTTGAACTAGGTGGAATACCCTCAGGTATGGATCGCCGTAACTGCACAGGCCACTTTTTGACTTCATTACCGCCAAAAGAGTATATTGCCTTTTGCCATTCTGCAGACAAAACATATTAGATAATCGCATTAGTCTCAAAACAAAAGGTATCTGAGTGCCTGATAAAATAAGTGAGTACCTTGAATTTCAAGTTCAAGGAAACCTCCAATACGTGTTATTATGACATCTCGTGGTCTCATATTGCTAGCCTCAGGTGAAGACGACATTATTTGACAACCTTGCTGTAGAATTTGGATGAAAAGACTTTGGAGAACTTTAGTGTCTTGGCGGCTACTAATACCACCAAAAGGAAATATTAAGCTGTCCAATAATTCTCCTCTAGCATCTGTCCAAATGCATACTAACCATCGCCAGTCCTCAGTCCAACCATAACAGCAATGAAGACTTGCTGCACTGTCACTCTCAGATACATCAAGTAGAGGGCTCACTCCACTATCAGAGTTACTTCCTGACATTGAGCCATAAACCCTGCTGCCACCTGTATCTGCTCCAGATTTTGACGGTTCCATTAAAGCATTAAGATCAGCAGACCCAGGGTCTGCTAGTATGAAAAGTGGCTCAAAGGCATATTTTCTATCATCCTGAGCACATAAATCTGGCATCTTACTTGGGTCCAGCAGTCCTCCAGAACGAGCAGGCTGCCATGAGTTATCCCATGTTGCCGACCTCATGGATGCATCAAAATCTGTTTCTCGAGAGAGAGTTGGCCCAGACATTCGAGGAACTAAACATTCTTTCCAAAGAGTAGGAGCAGGTGATGTAACATGCATCATTGTGGACTGAGATCTACCCAAATAAGTTGGTGACTGAAACATGTCGCTTGTGGAGACAGCCCGTGGGATTCGTCGTGCCTTGTTGTACACTGTGAATGCTATGTCCTTCAAAACAGCAAGCTCCTTGCTTGGCTTATCAATTCTCAGTACAGTTTCCATAGTAACAATCTGCAAGACGAGCTTAGGTATACTGAACCCGGATAGCATAACGACATTTGATGCTGATGCTTCATCTGCAGAGGCACTGCTGTTTAGGGCTTTGGCAACCTGCGAATATAGCGACTTTCTTTCCCTTTCCGGGGATGAAATAACATACCCAAGAGCAACAGAACATTCTACTAACGTCTGCAGAATTGCACAAGGTTCTGGAAATGGGCAAACTACATAAATTACCTGCATGGATAAAGGGCTACTGGTGTTAAAAATAAGGTGAATAATTTACCATATTATGAATATCATTTGTATCCATTATGAGGGCTCTAGGCCAGAATATATACACAGGCAGGTTTGTGCAAATATATACAAAACCTACAGCTGAGAAATACAAAACATGAATATACTCGAACAAAATTATCATATAGTGACTACGTAAATTATCATCCAAGTGGAATTCAATAATTTCCATGTGGATACTCTAGGTTCTTGGGTCATCCTGGGCCTTCCAAACAAGACCAGAATTGTATTTTTAGTCCACAATACTACCAGGTAAAAGATTTGATATCAAATCAACCAAAGACAAGGCAAGAATTAAATATCATGCGATGTTAAAAAGTTCCTGGCATTGAAAAGAAGTTCTGCAAAAAACAAAGACAGACAAAAATGTGAACAAATTAAAAGGTTAAATCATTTCCATTCCCAGGAAAACGTGATAATTAGGTTGAAATACATGTCATAAGGAATATGATGTGAGCCAGCTTTGCTACAAAGAATGCAAGCATGTTGAAGCAGCAAGCTTGGGCCCCTCCACATCCAGCATCTAGGTGCCATGGTTGGCAATTAGACAAGGGTAGTGAGGATAGACAAGAGAAATGAAGACAAGTTCCTGGATAGCAATTCAAAGGAGAGATCGATTTCTTTCTTGTCTGTTCCAATTAAGGGATCTATTAACAACACATGCATATTGTAATTGTATACTACATCAATGCCTTAAGAGGAAGTGAATATTTGAACTACGGATTTATCCATGATACCATGACAGGAGCCCTGGTTATGGTAGCATCATGAAAGAAGAAAAGTTCTGTTTGCACAGATGAAAGTAACAAAAAACTACAAGGTCAAACAACAAATCATACCACAAAACAAAAACCTCTGAGAATCATTATATCCTATAAGATGAAATATATCTCATTAAAGAAACGCCTAGACTAAATAACTCACTTCTTGTTTGCAACATTTTTTTTTTTTTTTTGAGGGGGGGGGGGGTTGTTTGAAAAAAAAAAAAGCAAAGGAAAAAGACACTGCAGAGTTGCAAAAGATTAAACAATCAAGGTAGATGGAATAGAAAGAAAAAATGAACATAATTATGCAGAGTACCACTACAAAGCATTCCAATGGGAGAGAAGCAGCTATTTTATTGTTAAGTTACATGAATCAGATCAATGGCAAAGGAACAAAAAGGAAAAAGGACTTACTGTGCAAGGTCCACTACTGCTCTCTTTCTGATTTGTAGAGATGTTTGAAGTCAGCTTTATATCCTTAAG